ATTTGACAACAAACCTCTCCCTATGCCATTTTGTTATAAAAGTATGCTTCTACCTTTTTGTACACTTCAAATTTCAAGTAACTTTTGAAATTTGGACATGTTATTTTGGCACAGAATCAGTTTGGCTTAATGGAGAATAGATACAGAGACTTTTAATTATTGTAATAACGGCTTCCAAATCAATATTCGATAAAAGTTTTCAGGACACTTATTTTAAAAATTAACGTTGTTGCCTGTTTATCTATAACGTTAGGAAGATGCGCTTTCTGAATAGCTCTTCTACAAAATGTTAATTCTGCATTGTGTTTTCGATACTAAAGTTGTTCCCATAGTTGAATGCATTCTAACAGAACCAACTAGTCTGTAAGTACTTTCAAGTACGCAATATTCCGTCTCAAATCTCAAGAATGCCAAATTCCTATATCGGGGTTATATACCACTTCCACTTGTGAAGTCATTGCCATTTTCGTTCTTGATTAAAACAGGATGGTTATCAGAGAGGTATGATCAGACGCGACTAATCTTCGTTTCTCAAGTGCACATATCTCGTTTTATTATATGTGCCCAGCACTCACTGCAATGCAGGCGGCGAGGTTTTCTTGGAGATTCTATAAACAGCTCTTTATCTTCTGTGCGACACATACCACATTGGTTTCTGACCTGGCCATCTTTGTGAATTTGTATATATATCGAGTTCTGAGCTAAATTGAAATCTGAAAATCTATTCTCGCGACAATCGAAAATAGAAAATATTGTCATTGGCACATTATTTTCAGTTTAGGACAGCACTCCTCACTCATGTATTGGTTTGGGCTTGTCGACACCGCCACGTAAAACAAAGAGTATTTGATTTTAGATTAATAGTTTTCTGTGATTTTTGATCGAAATCCCGGAAGTTTGAAGATTGTAATCACACACGTCAATTTATACAACTCATAACATTATCATTTGGCACTTATGAGCATATGTACAATCGTTACAGTGGCCTGCCTACGCGTCAAGCATTTGCATCTGGATTGTGTCGGACGCTTCACCTGCCTACTCGAGAGTATTCAGCTGGTGGCGAACCGGTTAGAGCCCAATCGAACCGGTCTCTGTCACAGCTGCATCGTAGACGCTACTTTGTCCATGTCGAATGCATCGCTACATCCGGGTTTCATGGAGGCATGTACGAAAATTCTAGAAAACCCAGCTTTGTGCGGGTACTGCTCGTTAACGCCGGCTCGATTCTTACTCGGATAACCATCCCATATTACTTTTAACAATGTCAAAATCTTAGGTGCATTACTCATAATCCAGCGCAAAGTGTTTTTTATTATTTAAAGCGAAATATACCGATTTATCTAAATTTTGTTCAATGAAGTGTTTTATCACCCGGACGCGGAATTGAGAGCTACGTTTCGACTGGATGTGGTGACGTGGCTTTCAAGACCCTTTCTAAATGTTATAAAACTTCAAACGGATTTATATCAAGATATAGCATATAGTCCACGACACCGAGAGTTTGATAAATTATAACCGATATCGTTCCTAGACAGCAATTACTTATAAAAGACCGTTCAGGAAGTTATACAGATTGTATGTTTGATAATTGTAATTAGTGTGCAATAAAATGATAGCATTCCAAGTTAACTAGTTTTTTTTTCGCAGTAGGATATTAGAATTTTTTGTTAAACGGATAATTTGCCTTCGCTTGCAACATTCACAGAAATCGCCCGATACTTGCTTATGAAACTGTTTTTTTTTAATTTTTTTTATTTATCGGGTTAATGTTTGGAACATGAGCCAAATCTACCATTCCGCTGATTCGATACCGACGTGTTATTGGTTTTTGTCATCAGTCATCATCCACGTCAAAAATGTTGATAACGATTTTCCTAACCCTTCTACCGTAATGCCTAGCCTAGACCATTACGAGATTCATGCTTGGTTGATTTCAACTAAGTTCACATCCTGGTTCGATGACGAAACACTTACCAACTAAGCGTACCGGACCCCATTTTTATCTGTTAGGTTCTCAAAATTAAGCCATTCTGATTTGGTGTTATCGCCAGACGCGCTTGACACAGTGGGGATAACTAATTCGAGATGATCATAGGCTTTTAAAGTGAGTATAAAGAATATAGCCATTCATTTGAAACGTGGTATGTTCCAGATTTTTCATTTATTGGAGGGCAGGTAGGACATGCTGCTTACAAAGTAAACAAGCTTTTGTGTACCGTATCAGTATTTTAAACATGCGTAAGCGTTTATTAAAGGGTGCCTTGTAGGCGAAGAACATTTTACCCTTGTTATGCTACATTTTCATTTATTTGCAAACTTGAGATATTATCAACGTTTGTACGGTGTTTTAGTTTTAGCGGTTTTTCGAAATTCGATTTGTATTTAGACTATTTACCGTATTTAATATATCAGTATTGTTGTAATTGAACACATTCTGAATCGGCCACGATCATAGGTGATGCGGTATAAAAGAATCGTTTTGCTTCTCCGACCCATTCATGAACGGGCGTTATTTAGTTTATAAAGTAAATGATCGCATTTCTTCAATGTAAATATTGGACGAAATTTTATTAATTATTCAAACTGCGGTGTTGTTTGTATCCAAAAACTAATAAAACAGGAGGTATACGAGCTATTTTATTCGTCATGATGATAAAGCGTGCCTGGTTAGCCCGAATGTTGTATGAAGCATAGGTCCCAATCTCTAAAACGATATTTAGATAATATTTCACCAGTGTAGATTTATATGCAGATAATACCAGGTTGCAAATGCGCCTAGTGCTATTGTATTTTCTACCATTTCAGGTGTCTCAAAATTCGTTCGATTCGCAAGTCGTCTGTATTTGATTGTTGTTTCGTAACTTGTAATCTAGAGAAATAAAATTCGTTTGAATCTTGACGCGCTTTACAATTCAACAATGCAAAAACCACACAACAACGTGTAGTCGCCGGCGCGCTGGACTCATTTCGTAATTATGCCAGTTTCATTCAACCTAGTTCCCCGTCGTGAGCTCTGTGATTCGGCATTCGTCATAAGTCAGTATCGCCATAAGGTTTTCACAACCAGGTATGGGGTGTATATGAATTGTTTCCTACGCAACTTATTTTGATGGTTTTGAAACGTAGATCCGTGTTTTAGTGGAACAAAGACCACTTCAATCATGTTTTTATACACTTGCTCCAGATAAATCTTTCTCTCTTTACTTTCTCCCCCTTTCCACTCGGTCGCACACCCAGGTAAAGAGGCGACTTCTACGATTTGAATCTCATCAATTCAAGTTGGCGGGATTTTCGGCTTCCACGTTTCTGAACGCATGGGTTAATTGACCACGTATTCGATGAATGCTGGGTTTATTTGAGTTCGCAAATAAGGTATAGGACATGCTGTATAACTTAGCTATGTCGTGTTGTTGCAGATGAGGAATTGTTGTGCCTGATTCAATTTAATATGATACCTTTTTTTTGGAAGTAAAACTTAGGTACATATTGCACGCATATTTATATATATTGATCATTCGTGCACGGTTTGTTAAATGTCAAATTTGTGTTTATTTTGGCGTTTCAGAGGTCCGTGAAAATATTTTTAAAAAAGCGATTTTCTAACGTAATTTAAAAAAAAAAGTAGTTTGCTGCTCGAGATCCGACTCTAACTTACGGATATCGTACCTATGGCAGTTATAGGCTTGAAGCTTGCCTCCGTATTTTACTTGATTAGTGGTGATATAACAACATAATATCACACGAAAACCAAAATTGACTTACTTTTAACATTTGCTTACTTGCTGCTCGGTCGATGTTCGATTTCATTTTGGCAATGCTGTCATGCCACAGCGATTCCATAAAATCGTCTGTGCGATTAGTTTTTGTTGTCGGGAAATGTCTTTTCACGTGAATATTATTTCTATCACCCGCAAATGTACGACTGTCACACTGGTGGCAATGAATAAACGAAATATGTACGTCAGATTATTTTACTAATGTTTTCAAAGCCTTTTAAAATTACTTGTTTGTTCAGCTGCGCTATGCTATGGACAATGTTTTCTTTTAAAATTGAATGTAGTCCCTCGTTAAAAGATTACATATTTGGAGATTTATATATATTATATATATACCGGTCAAAACGGCTTAAAAATATGCCGATCTCATCTTCAAATTCACAAATCGGCCACATTTATGTAGCCAAGGCATCTCGCTTTTTGTATATAAAAATTACTATAATATTCATATATTTTCAAACCTATTTTTTATTTAACGTCCCGTTTAGTCATTTACCCCGCTTTGTATATTCCCGCTTTATTACCGCTAGTTAAGATTGAGACGGTAAGACTGACAATCAGGAAATTGACTGACGGAATCGTCTTGCCATTTGTGTCTGAAAGAACGTGTCATCAAAAAGTAGACCAAACAAACCGAACCTAAATAAATGTAGTTTCCTTGTTTTTTTTTGTGTAGAACGACTAGGTTTGATTTCGGCTTTTAAATCATAAATTTGGCCAAGGCGTTTTTATACTGTAATTGCGCGCAATCCTGAACAGGGGTTAATGGAGTGTGAACAACACAGTTGACGCAAATTATAGAATTACGAGCATTGTGACGCGTGGCAGCCACGTTGTTTCACACCCATTTACTGGGTATGGTTATCCATCTAAAAATAAACTTACGAATAAAACATATCAGGTGTGTTCCTATTCGCACTATATTAATAAGAGTTTTTCATTAGATTATCCTGTTGTCAATTTTAATTAGAGGCTAGAAACTCCCAAAGTGATAGTTTGAGTAACATTTTTTCATAATATTTCAAGGTTAAACAGCAAAAAAAATTCCAGTTTTTCGAAATGAATGTGAATTTCAGAACTATTCACATTTGGATCATACCATGTTGATTTTTATTTTCTTAAATTAGTTTTTTAATTTCTTAGTCATACATAATTCCTAAACATTTCATAATCTATCTAGCTTATCTACAATCTAAGCAATAGTTTTTTAATATTTTACAGAAAGAAATTAATGAATTGAAGCGAAAATTATCTGATCACACTGGTCTTCGTACTCATGACATTGGGGTAGCTGGTAATCCATTATTCTCATCATCATTTTCCAATGTTAGTCTTAACGATGAAGATGAAGAATTTCATGAAATTATCAACTATCAAAGAGAAATCGGCAAATTATCTCAAGAATTAGAAGAAACTAAAAATGAGCTTCAAAAGTGGAAAGAAAAGGCGGAAAATGCCAAGGTACGTCCTATAGTCATTATTAATCATCATGATCATAACTAATGGGGGTCTCAGTCGTATTTGGCGACTCTGGGTCTCTCGCGACAAACAGGCAGAAGGGCTTTGCTATCTTAGCACGCTGACAGACCTCGTGTCAGTCTGCCCTATTTTTTAATTGTGTAGTTTCCTCCTTTATTTACCATAGGCAAATTTTTTTGGAAACCACTTTTTTAATGAATTGGTAATCTTGAGGAATAGATTTCTTCTGGTATCAAAGGTATGGAAATGAATGTTCTTTCTTGATATGGGAAAAATTATGAATTGGAAGGACTGTGTCTTAACTTTTATTATAGCCACTCTTTGAATTGGGGATTTTTGCCCTGTGATGCCAAAATATCAGGCCAACAACAAAAATATCTTTAGTAACTAACTATATCTTGGGTATACTAATGGTATAAATATTTGACTATATTTTATCTGGACATCTATTACATTTCTGCCAAGAACAAGTCACACCACACCTTTAACATTGTTTATTTTGAATTTGATGTGTTTGTAAAGTCCTAAATAAACCTCGTGGTTATATCTGCCTCAAATGGAAAGGCAGGTATCATTTATTGACAGAATAACATTTATTCAAAAAATCAATTCATCTTCTTTTGGCCATACTTGTGGTATTTTGTCATCATTCCTGAACAAAGTATGGGGGACAAAATAGAGTTAATTCACTGTTATCATATTCAAGAATTATGAGAAAGTTTTCACAGACATATTACAGATATTTGTTGACAGTCAAGATAAGTAAATTGGGCTTGGTAATATGTTTAGAGCGCCACATTGGCGAAAAGCTTCGATGGACAAAACACAGATGCCTTAGCCTTACTGCAATCCCGTATAAGGGTAAGTATTTGAGTGGTTGTCACTAGAATATTCACGACTTTCAACAATATAATAAAACATTTAATAAAATTATTTTTTTGTATTAGTATGACTATTTCTTAATTTTATAGTTTAAAAAAGGTAACATTTAATAATTCCAAGATTAGAGAAGTATGAATCCAATGAGGTTAGTAATTGAAACTAATTACCGGTATGTTAAATTTTATCAATTATGGTTTTGATAGAAACAAATGATATCAACTTTTTAGGAGCTTGAAGATGCACTTCGAAGAGAATCAGTTCATCACCAACAAGAGATCAGATCAATTCAAGATGCGAATAATGCAACAATCAGCAAATATCAGGAAGAGGTATAGTAATGCACATAACTTCATTTTAAATAAGATGAAAAAAATGATATTTCAGTGATATTATTATCACCTTATAAAACCAGGCAACTATCTTGTAGCAGTGCCTACCAATTAATGTATTGTATTATTATAGAGCAGTAGTTCTCAACTTTTTGTGGCTCGCGGCACCCTTACGAAGGCTTTTAGCACTCATGGCCCCCCCTGTTAATCATTCCAGTGGTATTGATAGTGTTATTTAGGTACCGGTAAGTAGAATCCAAATTCCATTATGTTCAAACAGTTCAAACAAAGTGAAAACACCCTGTGAAATAACCTTATTAAGCAATGAAACTAGGAAGAACTGGGAGTTTTTTAGTATAGTAAAAGGAAAATCAGTTCTGCGCCTAGCATTGTGGCCCTTCTCCAATCGCTCTGTGGCCCCGGATTGGCAACTGCTGTTGTATAGGTTTCATTTACGTTGGGAACATATGAATGTCATTTTAAATTTTAAAAATTCTGATTTCAATCAGATACGGACATTGAAAAGAAGTAGATCTGATCTACCTGCTTCACATGACGCCGTCGACTTAGATAAAGAAGTTCCATTCAACAATAGACAGGAAGTCGAAAATTTAACTTCAGAACTCAATTTATTAAAAGAACAAATGAGAACCAGAAATAGACAGTTACAGGTGAGTAAGTCTTAAACTGTGAATTAATATGCTGTATGGTATATTGGTACGAATTTGGCATCTATATTATTTTAGTTTGGATAAACTTGTATAATAAAAAGTATTTTTTATGTAACATTTGTCTTTGAAAAATGTCATTATTTTGCTTTTGAACGAGATTGGAAATAATTTCAAGATAACATTCTGGAGTACTAGACTAATCAGATATATTAATGGACATAATAGTTTATTTTCATGCAAATTTTAATTTATTCTTATTGAACTATGATTTCTTCTGCTTTGGATAGATCCAAAAGACACAAATTCAGGAATTGACAACTTCTCAAAAGGAAAAGGAAATTGAACTAATTGAAGTTAAAGAGACTGAAACACTCTTTCGTAAAGAAAATGAAGAAATGAAAAATGAGATTGCTGAACTCACTTCAAAATGCAAAGAAATGGAGCAGAATTTTGATGATGTGAAATCTGGTTAGTACATGTCAAAATTAATATATATACTATACATTGGCGTAGCCTGAGGAGGGAGTCGGGGGCCATACAACCTATCCAACCCCGCAACTGATCGAATTGATGTTTTGGTTAATGCCTTGGAAACATCGTAGTTTTTAGTTCCATTTTCAATGTTCGTATATATAACATAAATGTCCATCTTTCTGAACCAAATCATCGAATATACAACTTTTACCCTGCTAATCGAACTTTATATTAATGGGAAAAGAATACCATTCCAAAACTGATACATATATGCAATATCTTCTTTTCCATAATAGCTGATTCATACAGTGACACAGGAATCTCCAACTTGTAATGGTTCAATCATGTTTTATCTCTGTACTGTTAACTGGTGATGATGCCGGTATTTGAATGATTTGTTGTAATTTTATCTTCTTCAAAATCTAACAAGTTGTGTTTTGAAACCGCGTTTCCTAGCGATGATATGGATGTTGCTAGTCATAGTTGGTTTTGCGTAGCACGCTTGAAAGAACATTGTAGGTATTTGACACCTGAATAACATTCCTATTTCATTCAAACGGTAGTCAGTGATTACTTGGTAATCTTCATTCCCATAATTCACGAGTAATCATGAAAAAGGTACTACTAGAATCTGCTTTGGTAAATATGACAAAACTTTTGTAAATATATTGCAATACAGACAAATTTGAATTCAATGGCAATAATTTCGAATATTCAAAATGCACAAGTATTTAAATCTTTTTCCCTCAAATTTAGTATCAAATTGTTCTAAACAGCTCCGATTAGAGCTGGCAAAATTTGAATTTGTTACTTTTTAAAAGATACAGTTTCACCATGCCATGAAATTTGGTTCATTAGTAATACTACTGTAGTCTAGGAATCCATTTATCATAATTATTACAGTAGAGTAGTTAACCGCTACCGAATGTCATTGAGTTCTTTTTCTCTGATTTGAAATCTAGAATTACATTATGTTCTTTCTCTTCGTAATATTGAGTTACCCTTTGTACTGTTTTGTAATACGGCATACACAGAAGAAATAAACGGTAAAGTCATCCTTTCTCGACAACGAAACACTTAAGATATAGTTTGAAAGGCGGTTAGCGATTGTTGGAAGCTGTAAAGTGTTTAGAATTGCGTAGAATGACCCACATGGTCGGATTAGTGCGACCACATCTTAGATCCTATTAATCGGAACATGTTTTAATAAAATGCAGATAGTATGGAAACTTTTTTCTTGTTGTATAATGGGCAATGGATGAGTCATGTATTCATTGGAAGATTGTCATTTATTTGTGAGACAGATAAGTAATATGCAATTACTGTTAGAATTAGTTATTTTACATGTTAGTTATCTTCCATGGAAAAAACATTCTATTATTCTGCCAAATATTTTTGTTTAATCTTAAGCTTGTTTCAATTATAATTCTCAGGGCTTTCAGAATTCATCACGAAAGCCAATATACAAGTTTTATTTGATGTTGAAAATCTTCCGGAATCTATCAAAAATATTAGCGAATCTTACTGTCATTTGGAGGAAGAAAGAACTCTTGTTTTAACCCAAAATGATGAGCAACATGCTGAAATCGAAAAGCTCAATAACAAGGTGGCAGAACTTGAAACATTACTAAGAGAAAATGTTCAGGAGAGTGAAGCGGAGGAAGACAATTATGACATAGAATTAGCTGAATCAGATCAATGGCATAAAGAAGGGTGAGTTTTATGTTTATATTTTTTGGCTGCTTCGTAACTGCTACCAATTTACCTTTTCAAATTTTTCGCTGGGATTGATATTGCCTAGTTAATTTTAGTTTAGTTTAGATTCTGGTGAGAAAGGAACACTTGACCAGCAAGGTGATTACAAATGGCTACAGTTCTCTAACATTCATACATTTCTAGGTTGAATCAAGTAGCAGAAGAAGATCAAAATGTTGAACAGCAAACTGATGATGTTGAATCAGATCAGCATCAAAGAAGAAATAATCAACGATTGCCTCATCATCTCAATTTTGGTTCGTTTTATCTATTGCTAAATGTATTCAGTTTTACACGTAAAGATAGCTCAATTTAACAAATCCACAAATTTGCTTTTATATAATATCCTGTTAATGATGATTTGATAAAATATATAAAATAAATCTATAAATGTTTCAGTATAATTGTTCAGTTGGGTGATAATAAATCTCATTTTATCTTCATCAGGTTCTCCCATCAGTCACAGTTCACCTCAAGTTGTTTCACATTCGAGACGAAGATTGCGAGAAGAAAATCAATTCTCGACACCTACAACTGATCCCGGTGATCTTACTCTCACTTTGCAAGCATTAAAGAAGCAGGTATTACAGTACTATACTAAGTAATGGATAATATTTATTTACACAAGTTTACATTGCGGTTTGGTCTTTAGATTGGTGACTTCTGCATATGGTTTGCAGAATGTTTGAAATTTTTTGAGTGTTCGAATATCTTGAAATGATACATGATATGCATTTGAATTATTAATGAAACAGCTTGTCCAATGTGAACAATTTTCAACTAAAATTCCATGAGATTACTTTGCCATAATAATTCAATACTGTGGTCTGTGGATGCATATTTTCATCTTGTGCGGTCAATTTCATTTCAGGTAGAGGACTATGAACTTGAAATTGTGCAATATGAGCAAGTTCAGAGTGAGTGGCAAGCTGAAAAGAAATCACTTCAAGAATTACTCAGCAGATATCAGAGTGACCCTGAAGGACAAGTGAGAGTTTTTTCATTTTGATTATCTACATTCTTTTGAACCAGAAGTTGATATTTGCGGGTTCGGGAGAGGGGAGCGCCCGCAAGGCGTGGTTACCGGTACCAACACGTAAATAAAATAAAACATAAAGTGTTGAACCATTTCACTTAAGTCCGTGGGCGATATTAAATCGTTATTCGTGCCGTAATTGGCCCACGGGACGCTTTTTTGAGAACCACTGTTTTAAACATATTGAATGATAATAACGATTTTCTTTTCAGTCATTAAATGAACCACAAGATGAGCGTGCTGTTACATTGGAAAAGTTGAAACAAGAATTGAATGAATTGCAAGAAGCTAGATGTGCCTTGGAGAAGGAAACTAACAGGCTTCAACAAGAAAAGGTAACTGCGAAACCAATGTTCATGATGTTCGAAAGATGAATAAAAACAACCATATTCGCAGATAAATTCGATGAAATCTCGTTGAACCCTGCTCACTGAAAAGCTCATTAACTCTATTTGATGAAGATTTAAGTTCAAATATAAATATTGATAAGAGTTTTACCTATTGTTGAAACGTTTTATGTGTTTGTGTCTTGGAAAACTATAATCTTGGTGGCAGTAGAGTTTAAAGGCCACGAATTTCTATTCAATTTGATTACCTATATTGGCAATGTACTTTCCTTGTGACGAAATTACTGTGAATCATATTATTACATAGGTAGTTTGATTAGGTAGCTGTAAATAATTTAATTGAAGAAAATATTGGTGTTTCATTCAGGAACAGTTACAAGTTGCAACTAAGAATCTTGAAGAAGAATTGAATGAATCGATATCAGAAACACAAACTCAAAAAGGTAACTTTTTGCATTATATGGGGCAAGATTTTAAGACTGCAAACCCGGCAGTTATAAAATGTTGTTTGTCATCAGTTGTTTGAAATATAAGCACCTGTGCAATGTACTTGGACTAATCTTACGACACTTTTTTAAAATAAAAATGTTCAAAATTTAAAGATCTCATCTCAATAAAGAAGTAAATATTTATTTATCTATTACTAATTTATTTCGTATTCCTGGAGAATACATGTAAATCAAATATAACTGACACAGCAGTTTATTTGATCATCATAATTTGTGACATTGTTCCACAATATCTTCAACTTTAAAAACTAACAAACTAAATTTCTGGATATATACAGTCATATTTACCCTTTTTTTTTAAATAATATTCAATAATTTAGTAGATCTATTAACAGCAATAGAACCTTTCATTTTGGTTTTTAATGTTTGATATTTCAGTCTATTTCAGTAATAAAACAATATCTTTCCAATTTGACAGTTCTGAAATTTGAAAATGCAATTTTGGTCTATTCTGTAGTCTACAGTAATTGAGGATATTAAAATATCACAACCCGATTCATCATATTATGTTCACTCAAAATCAAGCATGATTCATCGATGAGCATTGATCTATTTTTTTTTTTTGAATAATATATGGTCTCATGCTTGACTAAATTTTGAAACGCTTGGTTTTATAGCTGTTTGACTGATGTCTTTAACAATTCAGTAAATTGTGATTGATATATCAATTAAATGGGCGGCTTATTTTTATAGACGATGATGTCGATACAATTTTTGTTCGGTCCAATATTTTCGTTTTGATATTTTATAAAAATATCATTTTATGAGCCATTTCTGAAAGATGCTGGCTCGATAATTTCTGTATTCTGTTTAATTAGATTTTATTAAAATTTAAATGCAGGAAATGCTCAAAAAATTTTATTCGAAATTCAATTCGGAAGTGTCCAAATATGTGGTAACAGACTCTTTACATCAGCACTGTTATTGCAAGGATTTTAACTAAACATAAGGTTTTAAAACACAAAATAGACTGAACAAATCAGAGTAAAAATATTTGACTGTGGTAGGTAGCTCTCGCATCTTGGTTTTGGTAATCTATCATAAGCTGGTATAGAATATGCCATCATCATTATATTAACACTAGTCTATATTATAACACCATTCCTATGTAGACAGGGCAGTACAATATAAGTAAAAAGTATTTCTTCATATATTATAATATCGCACCTGCATCTTTCTTCTTTGTTACTATTGTATCCACTTGAAACTGTAGACCTCATTTTTGAAGTACTTGAGAGTTGTGTAATGTTTTGTTTGCCTCGTTATAATTAAAGCAAATAGCAAGAAAAGTCGTTTAGTCTCCATATTTGCTGCCGTATATTCTCATAGGCGGGATATAAGAATGATGTATTCAGTTTTAAATAATATCTATTTGTTGGACTTTTTCAGTTATTCAGTAATAAAACTGCAGAAGATATCTGTTTCCAAGGATAGTATGTTTTCTAACACCTATTCCATTTTATTAGATCAAACGGACTCACTGAGACATCAATTGGACAAATTTGAGAACGAAAAAGAAAAATTGCAAGCGGCATACGATGTACTTACCCAAGAATTGAATAAAAGCAGGTATTTGAAAAAGCTAATTACATAAATTTTTTAATTCTAATATCAGAGATATTGAATAATCATAAATGGATAGGATATCTGAAATTTAGTTTGGTGTTCTGAAAATTGAGAGAAAATTGAGAATTGAGCACTATTTTGGATAATGTATAGATAGACAAACTATCATAACTTATCAAAAAATTAAAATTTACTTCTAAAGGGAGGAAAAGAATGATTTAAATGAAGCTCTCGATGCCCTTGATACTCAACATCAGGATGAGATGGCACAACTACTCACAGTGAGAGATGATCTGAAGGAACAACTCAAATCTACCAAGTTTCAACTTGAGGAAGAAAAAGTATTGTCAAATTGTTAATATTTGAATTTGAGGGAATTCCCTTATTTATCTATGATCTTTTTATCAGGTGTCTGGAGAAAAACTGTCAAATGACCTAGATAATACAAAAATGCAACTGGCGGATGTCTCACAAAGTAACAATGAATGTTCCCAGGAAAATGATGATGAAATTTCTTCTCTGAACTTGAAATTATCGAAGCTTGAGTCAGAAAAGAATGACATCGAATTGAAACTCAAAAACTATGTAATAAGTATGGAAAAGTTACAAAATGAGAATGAGAAAAAATTATCTGTCATTGAAGAACTCAAACAAACTCTCAATAAAGTTGAAAAAGAAAAGCAATTCTTTGATGAAAAACACACTCAACTTGAGGAAGATATGAGACAGAAGGATGGTGAGCTAGCAGATGTTAGAGTAAAATTGCAAGAACTTGAGCGTCATCATGAGAATATGAATCAGAGTCACTTGCAATTAGAAAAAGCACTTCAAGTCAAAGAAGGTCTTCTCGAAGATACTCAAGTCGAGAAAAATGAAACTGAGAAATGTTCTTCTTCTGAAATTTCTCGCTTGCATGAAGAAATTGAAAGTCTCGGAACAGAGTTGGAAAATGCTGGCAGAGAAATGGCAGAATTTCAATCTTCTCACATGGAAGAGAAAAAGAAAATTTTGAAAGATAATCAGGACTTGATTAAAAATATCGAAGATGGTTTTCAAGTAAAATTAAAAGCACTTTATGACGAACAAGAAGTATTTAAAAAGGAAGCTGCTGCAACTGAGAAGGTCTATAAAGACAAGATTGAACATTTGGAAAAAATAAACTTTAATCTCCAGAAGCAAATGGAAAAGAATGAAAATGAAGCTTTCCAACAATCGGCAACAATCAGTCATGACAATGATGAGTTGATACAAAACCTCCAATCAAAACACTCAAATATCACAGATCAGTACAATGCACTTTTAGATGATCATAATGCACTTATAAGTTCTTTTCAAACAGAACGAGCATCTTTAGAAAACAGGTTTAAATTAGAAACGGATGGAAAAATACAACTACAAAAAGAGTGTTCAGAACTAAAAAATTTATTACAAAAAGCCAAAGATAGCGAAACGGGTTTGCTTTCTGAATTAAGTACTTTGAGGGTTGAGTTGGAACAAGCAAAGCAAAAAATTGACTTTCTTTCTGAAAATGAAAATGTTCTTGTAAAGAAAAACAACGATATCGATTCAGATCAAGCCGAAAATAGCGCTTTGCAGACTCTTCGTGAAGAATATGAAAAAAAGTTGAATCGGCAATTGACAGAAATTGATAATTTGAAGATGAGGTTATCACTTGAGTCGCAACATCCCAGTGCAAGGTGGTTAAAACATTATTTTTTAAGGTCTTGAGTATAATTTTGTGGTGTTTAAAACGTCAAGTTAATAAAGAAAATTGCCTTTTTCATTCCAATTATTTTTGGACATAAAGAGCAACTATGGATCGTTTTGATATTATGTTGTTGTGAAAAAATCGCTTTTTTATTCAACTACTGGACCAATTGCTTTGTAATTTTCAGTGATTGAAGATTGTATTCTTTGCCTAAAAGCTATCACTTTTATTTATTTCGAATATTCCTGTGGGCTCGATGGGATCTTCGAAGTTTTGTGTGATGATATCATCAAAATTAAAAACTATGTGCCATGATTCCGTGATCACATCTCAGTAATCTGGTTGTCAGACTACCGGTACTGTAAAAGATTTAATACTACTTTGTTTTGTTCATATATTTGAGCATTCCTTTTATTAATTTTAGCAATACATCATGAAGTGGAAATAATATTTATTTTATCTTAGGCCTGAGATGAACTTAGAGAAATTATTGAACTCTATCGATGGGCAAGACATTGCTGGTTTGGAAAAATCTGATCTTTCAAAAGATGATATTGGGTTATTGTTGCAGTTGGTGAAAGGTAATTAATTGTTATTTTCTTAAGTATAAACAAAATATATTTCTTTATTTCAAAAGTTTTTTTCCAAATCATTGTTATTGAGGACTCAACAGAGTAATAATTTAAATAGGTTCATATGATATTTGTGTCAATGATGAAATTACATTAGACTCGAAACTTCATTGAACTTAGTGAACATTATTTTATATCAAAATTTACAATTTTTTCAAACTATTCTGTATTTTGCAATTTGATAAATCCTTCAACGATGAATGTCAACAGACTCAACATTATGAACAAGATATCATTTCAATTTTTCCCAAGATTTGAGTAGATTTCACCTTCAGATAATTATTTTTAAAGTTTTACTCATCATTTCAAGATCATCTGAATGGTTCCTATGTTATTTTTATTAACTCTTCATTTATTTCACCAACAGAACGAGATGAAGTCATTTCAATGTTGACTCAACGTCGTTCTGAAGAAGATAGTAATACGATGGCTTCGGTTGCAGAAATCAGGAGATTGGAAGATGAGAACCGTGCACTTACTGCCGACAAAGATCAGATTTTAGCTGTGATTTCTGAAAAAACGAAAGAAAATAAAAAGCTGAAAGACGAAGCTCATAAAATGATGGGAATTGTTGCTGAAAGCAATGCTGCTCTCCAGAAGGTATATTTTTTGAAGTGACACCTAAACATTCTTATCATATGTATCTAATTCGGCTCGGCGGTGTGGCGCATCGTGTTAAGCGTCAAGTATACGCTTGCAACTGCACCTCTGATTACTCTGTGTGGGTTTGCAGGTTCGAATCACATGCAGGGATAGTTATGTGAGAGAGGATTGATGGACTCCTCGCTACCGCAGTGTGGTTCACGTAACCGCTGGTCGGTTACGGCTTTCTCCACCATCAAATAACTGGCAAATAAAAAACAAATAAAAAACAAACTGGCTAAATAAACCCGTAACCTTCATGGACTGGTAACCGGACGAGAGACCATGGTTTGCCATATGATCAAGCCGTCTTATCAGCTTTCATCTCTCCCGAGATAAATATGTAAATCCTATCCTAATTTGCGCTATATACAATCTTATTGCAGGTACAACAAGAAAATATGGCACTTCTTGCAAAGTATGAAGGTTATGATAGAGAGATGACAAAAGAAGCTGTTGGAAAGCTATCTAGATTAGTTACAGAGAAAGAACTGGAAATAGAATCTTTGAAACAGAAATGTGGAACATTGTTAGAAGTTCTTCAGCAACAACCAACTACTGGGGGTAAGTGAAGTCTTTGGTTTGTGAAAATATCATCTCGTTGTGGCATCACTTTTATTTCTTATGAAATTTTCAATATGCACATGGGAAAAGGTGATGCGTATCAGTGATGCGACTTTCCACGCGCCTAATAAGTGCATAAAAAATATGGCTTCATAACCGGATGCCGTCAAGTAAAAGCACCATGATTGTGACCGAAGCCCTTGTTTCCGACGAATTCAGTTTCGATTTCTAAAAACATTCTGTATTACACGTAGCAATTTTAAGAACATCAGTTCTCTTAGAAACTTGCGTTTTGCGGCCGCCGGCCAGACCACCTGTTACAGTCAAACTTGGCAATTACAAATTTCAGGGTGCTCCCGAAGTATGTGTACCAAGATGGCGCACAACCTGATCATAGTATGTGTACCGGGTTAGAATTCAGGTTGTGTGTCATCTTGGTACACATACTTCCGGAGCGCCAATTTCAAAACCCCCCCCTTTGAAAATTCCTGGCTACAACCCTGGTCTGTGGTTCGCCATATGATCGCCCCTCTCCCCTGGGATAAATATGTAAATCCTATCCTACCTGACCAATTCCTCTCGAATTTACAGTTTTAAAGATGGGAGTGCCTCCTACAATAGAAGCTAAACCATCACATGTAAATTGGACCGCCTGTATATTTTCAATAATCTTTTTCCTGCTGTCTTTTCAGGTTCTGTGCCAGACAAAAATGCTGTATCTGGTCAACAAGTACAAAATCTAATCAGAGATAAAGAAACACTTACAGGCCAGGTATACCTAATTACTGTATCTTTGAGCTTAAAGTCATAGATGTGTGCTTGTATAATTTTTCATTGGCTTATGCATATATAAAGTACTTTTCGATACCTTTCTTTATATCATTACCCTTTGTTATAGGTCCAACAACTTTTAACTGAAAGAAACCACTTGGTGGCACTCTTAAACCAACGGCAAGTTGAGGTTGAGCAAGTCAGAGGGGAAGTTGTAAAAGCTTCAGAAGCACTTAAACATGACTCTGACAACAACTCTAAATTACAAATCGATTATGGAAATCTGGTTCATGATTACGAGCAAACTCAAATGAAATTGTCGTCGATGCAAAGAGACTTGTTTCCACTTCGAGAAAAAATGATAGAACTTGAGGTAAGTGCCGTTTAAAAAACTGCAAAACTTTTCCAGAGGCAGAAGAAAGTCGATAAGACGGCTTAACAGCTTTCGAGAGCATGGACTTGATTGTGGAGGAAGCCCTAATCGACCAGCGGGTATGTGCACCACCCTACGACAACAAGGGTCTAGCAATCCTCTCGTACATAAATTTCTCTGCATGGGATTCGAACCTGCAAATCCACACAGGGTAATATTCAGAGGTGCTGTGTGAGCATATTTCTAACGATTAGCATGATGCGTCACACCGCCGAGCCTATCTCGAATTCAGCCAAAAGTAAAGTCATATCTGATTAGTGATGTGTCAAAATGCCCTAGCTATGACAAATCAAATACTGATCGAAGTGGCTTGGAAGCAAGTGAAGATGTTTTTGGTATCATTGCATTTTGAGTACAATACAAATAAATATTGCTCTGTAAATCATGGTGAACTATTTTTTCATTCATGCATAAATTGGTACCTCATCTTCATCCATCATTATTTGCCATTTATTTAAGCAGTAGGATCGTGGGTTATCAGAATATTTTGAAAAAAAATTCAAATTTAAATTCAGAATATAAAACAAGCATTGTTGAAAAAGTTGGATGATGACACTGCAGTCAAGTTGGTGTCTGAGGATTTTCAAATGTCTTCCAGAGATAAAAATGAAGATAGAAGTGCTACTAATAACTCAAGTCAAGGTTATACAGGTACAACAATGCAACCACCCCATTTTATTAGACCATGCTAAGAAAAAATTCACTCTGCTAGGCTGTCGCTAGTGTAGTTGAAGAATTTAAATTCACTTTAGAATAGGATTTACATATTTATCCCAGGGGAGAGGAAAACCGATAAAACGGCTCAATCATATGGCGAACCACAGCCTCTCGTCCGGTTACCAGTTCATGTCGGTATTGGACTAGTTAGTTATTTTGTTTTCGGGAGCATGAACTTGATGGTGAAGGAAGCTGCAACCGACCAGCGGTTACGTGAACCACCCTACTGCGGCGATGAGTCAAGCAATCCTCTCGCACATAATTATCCCCGTATGGAATTTGAACATGTGAACTCATGTGTTGGCATGCATATTCCTAACGCTTAGCTTAGCACGATGTGTCACACCACCGGGCCTTGAGTGTATTCAATAATTCAAGCTTACCATTCTATTCTCGATGTAATGCGCTTGGTATGGTATTCTGAACTTTGAAGATTCCTGATCGTTCAAATACTGTAATTTGTCTTATATGCCAGCTTGTATATATGAATACTTTTCAACAACAAAGCAATTACATGTTTGCAGCCACATCAAGCAGTGAAATGAGGAATTTGAAGGAAAGTTTGAAACAAAAACAAGATCTTGTTGATCAAGTAACACAAGAGAGTACAAAGAAAAGTATTGAGGTCTGTTGATATTATACAATGATATTGTGTCAAAATCAAACTTTTTTTTAAGAAATTATTAGATAGAACATCCGGAATTATTCAAATATGAGTGGATTCCAGAAGAAAATCTAAAAACATTACTGCAATTTTACATGTGTAAGTGTATTCATGCAGTTCATATTCAGAAAAGAATAGAAATATCCAAACTCAAGTGTGTTAACACCTATCCGCTAGCATTCTGAGACTATTTCCTAATAGAGTTCCAATATGACTAGAAGTGGGGTACTCCCATAGCGTGTGTACCAGATTAGAGTTAGGCCATAATTTTATTCCGATTTTCCTTATTTTAGTTCTATTACAAGCACAGGGAATGTCTGTGTTAGCCAAGTGAATATACCCCCTGCCCATGAGCTTCAATCCCTTTACACAACTTGATGTAAAGTAGGCGAACAAAATTAGTTACCTCCGTAGTCAATTACTTCTTGGAATAAGAAGTTGTTTTTGCTATGGTTTTTAGATTGTTTACCATTGTTAGTTATAATCATTTCTTTTGTTAACAGATTGAAAAATTGATAAATGACTCCAAAGAAAAAGATTTGTTGATTCATTCTCTAACAGAAGCAAAAACAAGATCTGAAAAAGATTTGATGGCGAAATTAAACGAAGTCGAAATTTTACGGAAATCGGTAGAAAATTTAAGAGAACAGGTATGTTGTCACAACTACAATGCCTTGCCCATATATGGGAAGATGTATAATTTAATCGAGTGGTTCTCAAACATTTTAAGCTGCGCCTCCTTTTAAGAATTTGTAAAGTCTCGCACCCCACCTCAAAAATAACTAGCTAACAATAAGCTACAATACCAGATAGTAAGGCGAAAGTATGTTCTATTCAAAAAACATGTTAAAAATATGTAGATGGAACGTAAACAATGAAATAAATGAAAAGTTTCGAAATGTAAATATTCAAAATAAGGCGGGCAAGTTCAAGTTCAACAAATACTTTTATTTTTAATCAGCTTCACGGCCCCTCAAATAAATTGTCTATGACCCCCTTGTTGGACGCGCCCCATCGTTTGAGAAGCACTGATTTAATCAAAATGGTAAACAAAAAAATTCTAATGTTCTGATCATCAATTTTCAGGTTGCTGGTTTGAGTAAGAATTGTGAAGAGGCGAGATTGGAAGTGAGAGATTACTCAAGTCGATTGTCAGAAAAGGATGCGGAATCTCGAGCATTTCAAGTATGCCTTACTCTATTATTAAACTTTTTCTACTCAATAAATTTTAACCATTAAATGGACTGTTACATACTCCTGAAGTCAACTTATTTATAAACTATTTTGTAAAGTTTTCACTGGTAAAATATTAAAAATTAATTAATTATTAAATTAATTAATTAAAAATATTATAAAATATTTTAAGCGAGGAATTATGTTACAGAAAAAACTCTAGGAATTCAATCATTGGCAATTGCCATTTCATCATTTGTTGAGATATATCTAGTGGTATGATTCAAATTTTTTGTCAACCGGTTCCGAAAAGTGATATTTTTCAGCTGGTACTGTTGCAAAAAGTCATGGTTTATTCAGTAATGCTGACCGGTTCGCTGATCTCATAAAATTCCGTGAGACGGTTCTATAGAACCGGTGCGAACCGGCTAAATCCCACCACTGAATATATCCCATTTTATAATTTTCTTTATAATGTAATATATTAATACCGGCAACTACCCCTATTTGCGATTTCTTGTTTTGAACTCATTACGCTCGATCAGTGCCATTTTTTCATCTAAATGATCATCATTTTAAATTAGGAAACAAATGGGCAGTTGTCAATGTTGCTTAAAGAAAAGGAATATGAAGTTGAAAATGCTCGTGAAAAATGTAAGAGACTACAAGAGATGGCACAACAAAATCGACAGGTTTGTATTATCTTGTAAATGGCAATGCTTGAATTTGATATTTTGGTTCCTCAACATTCTTTCGGATCTCTGCTTCATGAGACCCTTATTCTCAGTCGTTCTGTGTATCCGACTGTCTGTCCGTGTGTCGAAGCTATAGCGTTTTAACGGCTGGACTGATCTGTATAAAATTTCATACGTGGGTTATCCTGTCACCCTAGTTATGTGTGTTTCACCGAAAGTCCGGATTGATGTTCTGTTTCCATGACAGCAGCGAAAAACGCTCCAATCGTTGGAGATATTCCCATTTTCTCATAAATTTTTGCCATTCACTCATCAACTAAGTTCAAATTCAAATATTAAAGTTCTGAGAATGCTACCCTCCACGGAAGAAAAAGCTCTTCCGATAGCTTACATAATTTTTTTAATTCTGCGATAATTTCTCTACTTTAGAGTTTTCCATTGGTGTTTATTTCATTTATATCTAGCATTGAATTTAGTTTCCTTATTACATATTAAATCTAGGGAGAAGAGACCGAGTCACAGAAGTTGTTGGTTGAATTGGATAGTGCAAAACAAATGTTAATTGCTGCTCGACATGAGAGAGATCAGGTACATTTAGAATAGATATTGATTGTTTTGAATTGCTTGATATCAATTCAGATTCGGGTTGCTATTTCGATTTGTTGCGATTTTCACCATTTATCCCGCAATCAATAAAATTGAAAACACACACACACACTAAATAATATAAGCAGTCATGTTTATTTCTTATAAAACTGACGCAAAAATATGAAAGCATTGAGGTTGTTAATTTTGTTGGTAGAAAATTCAAGAACTGAAAATGCACGATCAGCCTCAACTGACGACGGTTTGATTGTGTTTAGTGTGTACAATTTTCGAAATGCACAGTGAAATCTGTTTTAGAATAAAAATACATCACACATTAAATCCTTGTAATATATTTAAAATATTTCCGGGATCGGAATTGGAAGAAAATCCCAGGATTGCTACGCTACTTCGGATATGGTATCTTACTCTATGCATGGCATCTTGCGTTGATTATTTCATCACTTACTTTCAAAATACCCTAAATGATATTTACTTTTAAGTTTTTTTGAAATATAAGTCTTAGCAAAGAACTTAAAATCATCATATTGTGTCATTAACTAGGTAATGTTATCCTTGAAACAACGGAAACTAGAATCGGACAAATACTCAGAAGAAGCGAGGGCTTTAAGAGAAAAGGAAACTAAGCTTGAATCGGAACTCTCTCGACTACGCAATCATTTAATACAGGTTTGAATATTATTACTGAAAACTTGTTTTCGCTTATCTTGTCATAATCAGGATAGCTTAGACTAGGGGTTTTCTAACTTTTGATGTTTGGAGCCCAGGGAGTAGAGCTAAGATCTGAAGCCCAACTCGACCCGAAATTCAAATTTATTAATGTTGTTATGGCTTCTCTGGACAGTTACAAAAATTAGCAATTAGTATTTTAATAGCTCGTGGAGCCCCCAAGTTTCTTTTCTCTTTTGGAGCCCTGGGGCTCCGTATAGAGTACTTTAAGAACCTATGGCGTAGACGCCCCTTTGGTTCTTTCTGCTATTTTTAAAACAAAGCTTGTGACTAAATTTAAATATAAACAAATTTTAAAAATTATAAAATGATTTCTAGGTTGAAGAAGTTTATACTCAAGAAGCAATGCTTGCTGAAGAACGAGAAAATAACCTCAAGGAACAATTGCAGCAAACTCGATCAACAAATATGGCGACACGGGAGGCAAGTGAACAGACACAACAACAAGCGGAAAGTCTGCAAGAACAGTTGCGAACTGCAATAGCTCAGAGGGATCAGGCTATCCAACAACTCCAGGTTGGGAAAATTGACAATAGCAAAATTTATAAAAAAGTACATACTTTATTCCAGTGGTTCCCAACCTCTTTTCAAGCGACCCAACCATTTTAAAAAATTAAATTTTGTAAAATCTTGCACCCAAGGATATCAAATGCTCAAATACCAGACGGTTTGTAATGCTTATGCCTTATATAGTCACAAAATTACCTGACTAATATGAATCATTTTCACAACCTATTTTTCCAAAAATCAACTCGAAATTAGAAAGCTGCGCTTATTGTCATTATTTTCTTAATCAAAACATCAGCTGCCAAGTTTTTACGCTGTGATACTTCCAAGTTCCAACATATACAATTAGTATTGTACAATACTTACAATACAATACTTACACAATATAAAATAAACAATAGAATTAACTGGAATACACAAGCAGTAACTTTTAGGTTTTTGTTAAAAAAACAATTGACCTAATTTTGAGTCTCAACCCATATGTTAGGAAACACTGCTTCAGTCATCCTGAAGAGATGCAAATATGCTTAGGCAAAGCTGTAGATTGCTATGGGCTGATTCTACTTTAGATGTTCTTCAATTACATTCCTTTTTGAAGACTATGCTTTTCAGTCGAGTACTATTATTAAATATCATGTGTTAAATCGGTGCCAAATTTTTGATAAAAATAATAAAATCAGGAGCATTTTTCAAAATAATAATTATAATATATATTTTAGCTTACTCAAGAACAAGGTATGCAATATGCATCAGCGTTACAAAAGCTACAAGTTGCAGTTGAAAGGATGCAAAGAGAAGATGCTGCTAATTTTGCCGAACAACTTGACAAAGTCAAATTACAATTGGAATCTAGAAATAATGACGCAAATGCTTTTGAAACATTGGCAAATGAACTCAAGGTATATTTCATTACATTTTATTATTACTTTTTTTAATGTTAATGTCAATTATATCATAGGTCTCCATGAGAGAAACATAGGGGGCTCTGCGAGCTATTCGTTTACCTAATAAAGTACTGACTTGGCTAATTTTATAACTGTTCAAAGAAGCAATAATGGAATTTGACGTCAGTAGCGGCAACAAGGTGGCAATTCAAATATGACATTATCTAGTTCCAATAGGAATTTTTTTTGTGGGGCTTTGTAAATTATTGTCAACCTCTTCACGAGCTCCACAACACCAATAGTTTGAGAACCCTTGAAATATATAACCTATATGGTTCCATTACATTTGAACCCACGTACATTTGAACCCATGACAATTGCACCTGTATGCTATTGCACCTATGGAATTTTTTTTGTTTTTCGGATAGTTGAACCCATACTAACCCTAACCCATGGGTTTTAGCACCCTCATATAGATTAAACCCGTGGATATACACATGGGTTCAAATGTACGTGGGTTCAAATGTACGGTCACCAACCTATATATTTGTTGTAAATTACAGATGAAACTCGAAAATGCTAATGAAGCTCTGAAGTCTGCATCAAGACTCAACCAACAACTTGAGTTGAAAGAAGAAAATATTTCTCAATTGAAAAACATGGGTATATATCATTTGTTTTTGTTATGCCCTGTTAATTTTGCATGTAAACAAAGTGCTCACGTATTTCTAATTATTTTGTGTGCTTTTAATGGTTAATGTCAGTATTATCCTGTTTCCATAGTTAACAAGATATATGTTTGTACACTTTTTGGGTGATAGATATAGATAACACAGTTTTACTCTGTTTACTTTTAAGCGCACATAGTACTGGTACGAATTGCTGTTTTCAGGTCAATCAAGTTAATTATTAACAAATGCTAAACCATGAAAATAGACACCAATTCAGGTCATTCTATGGCGCAAGTGTCGTTAGAAGTGTAACTGCGGTGGAAATAGATTTAGTTTTGTGTTTGTTGTGTTGCTTCATGTTGTGTAATCTCTGCAGGCAACTGTGATACTTACTTGGGTATTTCTTGGGTAAAAAGGGTAATTCACCCATTTTTACCCACATTATTAAGCTCACATTCGTCTGCTGGGGTTTTATAAAATGGGGCATTTTCAACCATGTAGTGGATTAGAATTGTTGTTGCATGCAATGGCTTAATGGTTTTGTTTGTTGCATTTGGGAAGTTTCTACTTGAGTGAAGTCAAAACGGTCAACTTGCCTTATAATCTCAGCTGGCAATCTGTGATGTAAAATAAAATGCGATCACATTGTTATCTGAGATTTTGTGGAAAGTGTGAAAAAACAACTATTCAAGCTTTTCAGTAAATAGACATTTTTTGTGGATTTGTCGTCTTGTATTCAGTTTGATATCTCTTCAGCAGAATAGCGCATTCTATTTGAATGTGGTTTAAATTGAGATAGGAACAATTCATACCGAAAGTAAAAGTTTTGTTATTATGGAGATCTAGGTCAGGGTCATAATGTCTGTGCTGGCTGATGTAAATGCTTTATATCGATTCTTCTGTTGGAAGAGAATGAGGCTATTGCTCAGTGATAAAGTCACCTGACAAATGGTGAAATATTTACCACAGCGACAAGAGCAAAAAACATTATGTATTTTTACCCATGTGACAGACTTTTTAAACATGAACTGTCGGATTTTGTGCTTGGTAGAGGAAAATTAGGGCCACACTAAATGGCTTGGCGACCAGGTTGGGCCCACGAGCTACCTGTTGAACACCCCTTTGTTAGACATCACACCCCTTGTTAATGTCAATATGGAATGATGTTTCTAGTTGCAGATATTGTTTAATTAAATAAATACCAGAATAGATGAGGTAGGAAGATTTGTGATGCTAGGAATACTGCATTAGGAACTGATTGGATGGAATAAAATATCTCACTCAGTTTTCGATGCATTACTCCTAGTTTCATCCCTACTTCAAAGATGTATTTAAAAGAAAGATTCACATTGGGGAAGTTTGTTTTATTAATTGCATAACAGAGTAATTAATATTCAAGTATTCATCACTCTTTTGAGTGTCTTCAGCAGGACTAGAACCTACTTTGCTTTTGCAGGCTCCCTAGGCCGCTCATTTTTTAAATAAAAATTTTCTTTTTTTGTGTTTTTAGCAGTAGGAATAGGTATCTAAGTAATGCCTATTCTGTTGAATCACTTGTTTGTTTTAGACAACTTTCTGGAATCTTCGCTTGTGACTATGACTATAGTACGATAATTGTATTTTTAGTTGGTGAAAAGCAACTACATATTGACGAATTACAAGACAGGTTGCACGACATCGCTTCTAAAAATGAGTCAATGGTGGACAAGTAAGTTGTATATTTAATCTTTTTAATATCGATACTCGATAGTCGAGAGAAAAATTTTTAAGCTGTTAGAGTGGGCACTCATTTTGATGTGGTCAACATCAGAATGAGATTAGGGTAGTCATCAGTTATACTGTAATACTAATTAATGAACTGTTCGTTTTGTAATTTGCAGAGAAATTGTCAAAAATCTTATTATTGGATACTTCACATCACCAAACAATAAACGGCCCGATGTGCTTCGGCTGATCACAGCTGTTCTTCGCTTCTCTCAACAAGACGTTGAGCGAATGAATGCTGGGGCACCACCAGAAGGAGCTAGAGGGTGGATTGGTAGTTGGTTTCGGCAAGGTGGCTCACAACAAGCTAGACCAAGCATGAGTCTCCCTGCTTCTCCGAGAAGTGGATCTACAAATGAGGTGATATGCATAAAAATTTCATGTTGTTTGGTCTGCGTAATTTAAAAGTGCATTTAAAAGCTAAAAATATGCTGTTAAGCGAGGACATTTGATTTAGAACTTCCCTGTTTATTGCTGGTTGATATCACTGTGTTCATAGTATTGCATTGTACCACATACATGAGACTACTGTCTATTTCACTATACATTTTGATTAATGTTCGAGGTTTATTCTCTGAATATAGCTGACATTTTTATTGTGAATCGTTTATGAATTTTTGAAATTGTAATTTTTGTATTTTTTAGACGTTTACACAAATGTTTGTAAAATTTTTGGAAACTGAGTCTGTACCTCACCAAGCTGCCAAGTTACCAACAACAGCCATGATAAATGAAGCGCAACAGAAAACGAATTTGCGAAGGCCTCCGAGATCACCAGGTATGGCACAGGAACGGAACTTATAATTCATATTTTTGTTAATAAGCTTAATTTTATCTTATGAATATAATCACGACTTTTTAACAGTGCTATCATCAGTGCCAACCCCAATAGGCACGGTTGCGGCAGAACGAGCTGGACCTGTGGTCGCTGGAAGATACAGTCCATTCTTATTATCTACATCCGGAGCAGTAACGCCTCATCGAGGTAAACAAATTTTTTTAATCAAATAGTAAAGTAACTTTGACCATTGGACCTAATACATATTTGATGCATTAATATATACAAAAAGACTGTTTCTATTACTAACATCTCACTGTATCATAATGTTTTTTTCAAGTGTCCCTATGAATATTTTCTTGTTATAAGGTATGAAACAAAAAAATCTTCATGAATTCTATATAGCACAGCTCATAAGCGGATTTGAAATTTGTGCCGGGTGACATAATTTAAAATGCAATAGTCATAGTCATCACAAATGTGTACATACAGCAGAAAAATTAAAGACTCATTTTATTGTTTTGTTATTAGCTGATTTTAAGCAAAATGGACGACAATAAATAGCAATAGTGGTGCTGTATTTGACCACTCCAAAACTTCAGTCATCATGATCTTGTTTCTTTTGACTTTCTTCCTACAAGTTATCATTGTAATCTTTTCATTTTAGGTCAGGGGTCCACTACAAGTCATCCGGTGGTATTACATCCAGTTACCCCCATCCTACCCACTTTTACGCCGATTATAAACCCTAAATCATCAGCAGAGCAAGAAATCTTACAAGATATTTTATTAAGCAAAAATGACAGATGAAACGGTCTTGTTTCATTTGGATTTCTATTTTTGTGATTCTGGGATAAATATAGTGAGAGGAATTTTACTTTGCAATAAGCCCTTTGTGCCAAGTTACTGTGAAATGTTTACTATTTTCTAAAGTGTTATAGTTTGACATCAGAATATATTTTAAAGTAACACATCATGAGTGTCCGAGAAGTAGAATTGTTGATCAGATTTATGGTGTGGTGTGCGTTTATGATTGTATTCGCTCCATACTGTTTCATAATCATGATAATACTGTAATAATGTTTCTAATTCAAGTTTTTAAATGCGGAATGATATTGATTGAGTCAAACTTTGTGATGTAAAATTGTATTTTTTTTTGGTGCTTTTTGTCTAAGTTATTGTGTTTTATATTAATTTCACAGTATCTGTAATATATTTCATTCAAAATAGTATTCCATATGTAAAATGTGCTGTGATGAATGCACATAATTAGGATTGCTTTTTTGTTTCCAAGTGGTTCTAGTTTTGCCGTAGTGGCAATTTGTCTGTATCCTATGGATCATACTATGAATTGTGTGTAGCCCTCAACATGCCATTTTCTTGTCAAAAATGTGACAAGAGTCTACCTTTTCAAGTAATTATCTACAAATGAATTATTTACAGTCAATTAGATTAAAATTCTAAGAAATGCATGGACTTCAAATTATAACGGTCAATGTGAACTTTTTACCTGACTACCTCAACAACAAATTTTGGGTAGAAAAGGTGGAAGATGTAATACATTAGTGGACACGGCTGGACGGCCTTTGTTGACACTTAATTGGGGTTGTTCAATAATACATATGCTTCAATATATATTTCTTCCAGTCATAGAACTCGCAATAAACAATAAATCACTGGTAAACGAAAGTGCACACTTCTACATAGAATGATTCATTTTGTCCATATTTACTTTTGTTGTTGTTCTGTGTTCTCCTTCCCTTCAAAAGTTTTACTGAAGTGAGACTAAATGCAATTTATTTACTGAAAGAAGAGGTCGACATAACACAAAACAGTGTTATTCCTGAAGGTGAACACAAAGATTAAAAGTGACCCATGTTCAAAAAAGTGCTATTATTTGCATACGTTATCATATATGTTTGGTGTGCAATGTACTGTTGGGAAAATTTGAAATAAATAAATAAGAATCTGCCTTTGCAAGTGTGAGATGAACATGTTTAATACTATCGTTTGGCCACGGCGTGCGGCAATTGATTATTGTGCAGCGCAGTAGACAACTACTTATTTTGTCATTGCCTTCGACCCAAAAGATAATCCAATATTATTGGAAATTGCAATATCGGCGCTTCTATATCGGTATATCTCAATGCATGTATCGCCATTCAGGTTTTTGAGTTGCGGAATATTTTTTGTAAGTAGTTATTACAATACTTCAATTTAATCCGGTGTAGTTCAACTATATACGTGGAACACGGCATTTTCGAGTTGTAAGAAGTAGGCAAACAACAGGCGCCATATGAATGAGGTTCGACTTATGCTGCGAATATGCTCCTTCAGAGTATTAGAGGACGTCTTTGGTATGCCATTTAGGTCTGAACCATGTTTCAATTGCCGGGCGACCGGTGTTATTAGGACTTGGTTCTCTGGCAAATAAGTTAGGTCCGAAAATAAAGAATGTGTTTCAATAATTCGACCCACATGCGGCTTTTTTAGTCGGTTGTCGCACGTTCTAGCATGGTTTTAAACAGTTTTGGTACATTTTATCGTGTTTTCGACGATTTTTACACGTTTCAGCGTGTAATATTTAAAGAATTTTTGTTTAAATTTGAAGGGAAGACAATTGAAAAAAAAATACGCTATTTCTAGCATGCTTCCCCACTATGTTCTACCAGCAGTAGTCAGTTGCGACACGTAATATTGGTGGGTGTGTATTTTCTTGATCTATATTTTTTATTATTGAAACAATCGCTTTTTTAATTTAATTACTGGACCAATTGCTCTTTTTTTGTTATTTATAGTTGTTAAAGATTGTATATACTTTCTATTACTATTACTAATAGAATTATTTCTATTACTTTTATTTATTTCAAATATTTTTGCGAGCTCTATGGGATTCGTTTTCGTGTGCTGAGACGTCATCAAAATTTGCGCACCTTGTGGTGGTACGCGAACCCATAAAAGAGGACCCAGTGCTCAGCGAACATCGGTGGTTAAGCGAAATGGAAATTTTTTATTGGGAACGGTAGACTGCGGTACCTAATGTGGCAATACAGAAGTGACTTGAATCACTAGGTATCCAATTCACGTTGAAATTGAATCATGTAGGATTGATCAACGTCACAGGACCTGGAAAAGTTATGACAGTCCCAGTACCGTTACCCGTACCCTGGATAGTCGCGTTGTCCGCCTCCCGGCTATTGATAAGTTACTGCATAAGATTTTCTGGAAATTGATGATAAAATATTTTGTTTTGCCCTCCGTGTCCACACATTCGAGCATAGCTTTCTTGTTTCTGATAATCATTCAAGCTGTTTGATTATTCCTATGCACAATATTTTGAATTTATTAAAATATCTCAATTATTTATGTAGAAACTATTAGAAAATGTAAAGAACCTTGTTGAATTTTTGGAAGAAAGACGCTTAGATGAAAACATTAAGCAAATATACAGTTGTTCGAAATAAAACATGAAGAACTCAGATGTCGAATCAACAACCTGATTATTACAGTTTTTTTCGAATTTACTTGAAGCTTTATGTCATGCAAACGTTTTATTATTTTTTTTTCATTCCATTTTAAATGAAATAATAGCTGTAAGGGAAACAGATTGATTTGACCAGGATAAGTGACTATATATGAATACCAAAATCTTCTGAAAACCATACAGATATATGGAGGTGTATGACACAAACTAAAACAAAGTAAATTCCGGTTCACAATATTATGCGAAAAATGCAAAAACGCATTTACATTTACAAACTTACAAACAACACAGGTGACTATATATAAATTCCAAAATCTTCTGAAAACCATTTCGAATTTACTTGAAGCTTTATGTCATGCAAGCGTTTTATTACCAATTTTATTCCATTCCATTTAAAATGAAATAATAGATGTAAGGGAAGCAGATTGATTTGACCAGGATAAGTCGCGCTCATTCACTCAGAAGTAAAGGAAGTTTTATCTCTAAACAACGCAGGTGATTATATATGAATACCAAAATCTTCTGAAACCAATCAGATATATGGAGGTGTATAACACAAACTAAAACACAGTAAATTCCGGTTAACAATATTATGCGAAAAATGCAAAAACGCGTGTACATTTTTAAATTGGTGATGCAATATGAGTTAACAAATTAAGGTCCTTTTATTTAATTTTGATGCCTATTTCTTGTTGAGAAACAAGCAATTTCCAGTTTATAACTCTGTCCCCATCAACTCATAGACTTATAGGTTGTGCACGCCAAATTAATATCCTATAAGAAGGTATAATTACCAATAGGTAAAACTAGATAACGATCCGAGACCGCCGAGTTATCGATCTTGCGGTTTCGATTCGTTCGCTCTGGCTCAATAGCGACAACGCGTGCCCCATAACAAATTAATTAATAACTCGCGTAACATATACGAAAGTGAAACAAACAAGCAGACAAATACCTATAAACATACTTACCGATCGAGATTGATAATTAATAATAAACATTGTGAATTTAAGTAGAGAAACATAAATTATGATAGACATGATTATCAATATGTCTATATTAAACACTATTGGTTATACAATTATTACTATACGTATACAACAACGTACAATACATATTTCCTTTCGTTTTGGTGTTGAAATTACTTTCATCGTATTATGATTTTCACTATTAAAATAGAACTAATATTTGTGATGTTTCATTAATTGACGTAGAAATATAACTTCACCGATAAATTATTTTTACATTTCCCAATTGAACAACCTATCACTGAATACACAATCGATATTCATAGGATCGCGAGACTAATTATATCTAAAATCATCATTACAATATTGAAGTATTTATTTTACGTGATTACACGGCCCCTTCTGTGCTTTTGATGGTGTAATACAAAAAACATTATCATTAAATACATGTATACTTATGCGGGAAATGACCTCACTGACTCGCCCATCAGTATTAAGTAATTCGTTGTATTGGTGTATATTTTGACGTCATCATAAAAACCCTACTGGTATGACTTACTTAGTATATATAGGTAGCCAAGCATATGTCGTCAGCCAAAATATTTATTTGTCATATAAACGCATTTCCTATATTTGTTTTTAAATATAGTCTTCTTCAATGTAACTGACCAGAACCCACATCCGAATATTGGATTCAATTTACGTCAATTTGACCGCATAATCGCGATGATTAGTCAAACAGACTACTTATATATATATATATATAAGACTACTTTCATCACTTCGAAACATCTACTCAAAAAGCCACAATCAACACACACGCAACTTCAAACAAGATTCTTTTTTTATCGTCATAGAATTTTTTATCGTCATATCATAGAAATTCGTATAATAAGTATTGAGACACATCCAGTTCGTTCAATTATGATACACCTTCCTAAGTCACATTATACGCACCGTGGTATCCTCACAATAAAAAAATAAAATAAACTAAATAAAAAAATAAATATTATCCGAACCTTTAAAGAGACGTAAAAGGTGATATTCTGCAATGTCTTTTTAAGTTCTTTATCTGAATTGGATTTATATGAATATTATGCCAACTACGTTTGCTATAAAAACCTAGTGTACTTCACTTCACCGGATGAAATGTTTCCATATTTTCTTATGAATACCTTCGTTCATCAGTTAGTTTCTTTTCTAAAATTCTTGTTCCTTGGTACATATTTTTTTCTCCGATCTGCGCGTCAGTCAAAAGCATGGCGCTTCAGAAGTATGTATTACCAATATGGAGTTAACTAATTTTGTTCGCCTACTTTATATCAAGTTGTGTAAAAGGACGGAAGTCTATGGGCAGGGGGTATTTTCACTTGGCTAACACAGACAGTCCCCGAACTCATAATAGAAATAAAGTAGGATAGTGGGAATAAAATTATGGCCTAACTCTAGCCTGGTAAGCGCACTACTGGAGTACCTAAAGCATTCCCTTTATTTGTATGTAGGATTAACTCTTTGAACTCTGAATCCCCAGAACGATGCTACTCTCTCACCCTGACCTCCCACGGCGTCGCATCGATTCGACGCGTTAAAAAATTGTAATATCCCTAATTTTAAATCAAAATAACTTCTAAACCATTAGATATCAGATGGTCTGTAATATATCATATAAAAGCTTATCTAGTCTTTTATTTTTAACTGGCATTATTTTTCACGAGATGTTTTGATGAGATGTGTAAGCCTATTTGTAGCCCCATCTACTATTTTTTTTGTATTTTGGTAATATTTAATACATTTCTTAGAAATGTATCATCAATATAAGTACAATTTTGAAAAGTATACAAAATTACCTTTCGGAGAATATACGTATGACATTCTTAACATACGCATAACTCATTTTATTGCAAAATTTGTACTATCGATTCAAATGGTTTGCGAACAAAATTTATCAACTATTTGACGCCAAGTTTGCGTAAGGACGCAAAGGGCGGCGACGACATTGTCGTGATAACGTTCATGCGACGTATCGTGCGTAACTCTTTGCGTGAGGTATATTGCGCAATTGCACATCTGGTCGTTCACAGCTTGAGGGCAGATTGTGGCTTCATTGCATTAGTATCATATCCTCGGCCGCAGATAAAACCCTTTCAGACGAATTTTGATCGAACATAGTAAAATTGCTAGAATATAAAGGCCATTTTATAAACGTTTACTATTTGGATATGGGACGAAAATGAATGGCCAAAACGAAATATTTGATCCTCATGAATTTATGAGGTTCCGCCGGAAACATCAAGGCTAATTATTCACCGTTGGATATCATGAAGATTGAATAAAAAAAAACTGATAACGGGTACACGGAAGACATGGTGGCACCAGTAGCTCACCTGGTCAGTGTTTTACATTTTGCAGCCTCATTAGATTTTCGAAATTACTGCATATACGCTACATTCCTGATATCGCTATATTTCCAATGGATTTTAAACGAAAGCTTTGTCCAGATGAAATATTGGATAGTATTCATCTATCGGAAGAAGAAAATATGGCACAATAAAACTCAGCAATAGCGCTAAACAATGCATCCATCGATATGTTCCATCATTCTGTTTTTAAAAATCCTTATTTTGGCTATTCGTATTTTTCATATCTTTATGCAATTAAAACGGCAATAACACTGCGTATTGTGTGTTTTAGTCGAACCGATGTAATGCGTAAATTTCCCCGTGTATCGTTTACAAGTCGTGAGTCGCTTCACGAGTACGAACTTAAGTAAATGACGTTACGAGCATGCGAGGAAAAGTGTTTCTCGTATGAAACGTAAACGTGCTACGTGCCAACGTAATTGCTTAACGTCGCTGCGTAACGGCGTAAATGTGTTAGGTCGTTATTTACGTCACCTTGACGTCGCCTCGATCTTGCGACAAACGAAATCACGAATAAAAAAGCTTCTAAAATTTGAATGGTGCAACATAAGTTCAATCTAATGGTATCACTGGAAAGCTATCTTCAAATTCTACAACTTTTGTCGATAATGTACTAGGTTTAATCGAAAACAAATTTTAGTTTTGTCAATTAGATTTGAGCAATTTTCAGAAGTTGTTTATGCTTTTTAATTTTGCCAATTTTCATAAGATGATCACAATATTTTATCTCAATTTTAAAATTATACTTAGTCCTGTAGATTATCTTTCACACGATGTAAAACTTGTCTAAATATAATAAATGGTTCGCGAGATATGAGGTTTCAAAGCTGCATACCTCTTACGGGATGCGAAAGCCGCTAAACCGGCTTTCAGCGTCAGAAGACTTTCCGGGAAAGCCGGTTTAGCGGCTTTCAGGGTTCAAAGAGTTAAAACGTCACAAGGAATAGTTTTAAAAGTATACTAGAAAGGACTTGAAGAACATGCAAAATATTGGGTTCTTAGTTTTATATTGTTGAAGTTAAAACATATACGACGTTCAAGTTGTTATTGTTACATGTTGTTTGAGAAATGTGATATATATTCTTAATGGAATGACACTTTATTCAGACCATACCTAGGAAAACCATTAAGATTTGGGTTTCCGTGTATTTTAACATCATATACTGAATGAAACTTCAGTTTTGATTCATTCATTTCTTCAGTTCATCTTTTCACCTAAATGCTTTAAAAAATGTCTGTCAAGTGTCCCCCTCTTGTGGGGAACTTTCTTACAGGCCCTGCGGCACCTTCAAAAAGAACAAAAATCGATGATGTAATTTTTAAAATAAAACCAGTTTTCATATAATAACAAGTAAAATTTCTAATTCCGGCCAAAGGCAAATTATTTTCTTTTTCGAATCTGTATCTGAAAAATATTTTTGAATCTAGAATATATTTTATATTGGGCCATGGGTATTTTCAGGCTTGTCCATATGACATATTTTTTTGTCCCATTTCTATCCCATAGAAATTATGCTTGCCCATCCCATGGGATTCCTATTGGAATAAAATTCAATAAAACTTGTTAAATTTAGGTTCTACTATAAATAGGACATGAAAAACAACAAAATTTACGGACTTTGGTAACTTAATATTCATAACTATCATACATGTGTCCACCAACCCCTTCACGAAATATGTTGTTAATACTGAATATATTTTGCTCTTTATAACTCCATAACGATATAAATAAATCCATAACGAAATGTTTTACCAAAATTTCCCCGAAAATTATACGGTTTTCGTGTCCAATGGGAAAAACAAATGTGTGCTATCCCATCCCATGGGACGTTTCCCATGGACAAGCCTGAATATTTCACAGTAGACTAAAGTTGAAAAATATCAGACGGTGGTTTGTCATGTTGGAAAGGCTAAAGTAGAAGCGGGGACGTTGTAACTCACCGAATGGGCAGATTCAAACATTGAACCGCAGACCTGATTCCGAATATAGTATGAGTGTGAGAGCTGATTTTCCACTGTGCCCCGTGGCCCACCTTCCCCTAATGTTAGCATTCCGAGAAAAGCAAAACATTACAAGAAACGGTGATTTATTTTTTGGCTCGTTTCATATCTTCATATCTGGAGCCTATGATTACCCGCTGTGCATATATTGCTGCAGATCAGACTTTAATGGCCGCCTGGTTGCATCACTCGCTCCTGTCCATACCAAACTAATTTATTACTTGTTATTATTTTTATTATTACGATGACTGTTACTTTATTTGGTTGACGAAAGAATAAATCTCTCTCCCTCCTCAATCATGATGATAATCTTTACCACCCTACCGTATTTGAACAAACACAGAACCGTAAGTAGACGTTATTCCATCATAAAAAACAAAAAGTTACTCAGGTCAAATAAATTTATTTAAAAACGTAAAAAGGTGATATTAAGAATATTAATATATAACAACGAACAGACAATAATAGAGTACAAATGAAGAAATAAAAAATAAATAAAATAAGAGCGCTCCAAGAACTGATATTTCAATAAGAAATCGACTACGTCCGAAAATTTTCACACCAATTAAACAGTTCCTTGAATGATGCTTAGTCTACTCTAGCGTGTTTTGAAACATTATATATATCATATAATCTCACATTGAATGTGTTGATTGTATGTGATATCACAGTAAGTTTCACATTTTTTGTGTAGATGCTATGATCGCAATAAAAAATAAAAAGTCAAGTAAAGGAGTGTTTTGTTATTCTATGATTGTAGTTGAACAACAATAATGACAATGAAAATAAATATATTACTTTAAATAAAGTGAAAAGTATAAAATTTGCGTAATATTATGTATAGTAAAAAACTATAATATTAAGTCAAAAACACAAACTAGAAATCACAAAATGAAATATTGCACCAATGTCAGTTAATATATATATTGCCTTTATGTAAGCTCTGGTTTGTGTAAATACGTCGATTTGCCCAACTATAGGCAGAAAATAAGATTTTTTTCATCCAAGATTTAATCGGCAAATTGCTACTCATCGAACGCAGAACTAATTTGATGTCTGGATATAATTCATTGACACATCAAATCTTCATAAGTCTGCTTAAAACTCTCTATAAATGCGTTATATTGCCTCAAAAATTCGTAGATTCGAACTTTTTCCAATACTGAACTCGGTGCTGGGTGAATTGGGTAACCCCGTTCTATGTATTGCATTGGTTCTTCGCACGATCTTCCTGTCATCTAAAAATAAGTAATAAGAATTAAGTTAAACAATGTAATCTACTTCGGCAACCTGTTGGATGAGAAGTCAAAGTTATTTTATGACTTTAGTATCTTCCAGAATCAAAAAAAGAAAACTGAAAATTGAATAGTCAATATTTTATCGACATAAGTACTGTATATGGAAATATTTATACGTTGATTATTAATTTTATGATTTTTCAATCTTCTCCTATACTCCGTGAAGCACGTTGTGTACGCCTAATTTTGTGTCAATTGTGTCAGCTTTTAGGTTTAAATTAATGATGATATCAATAATAATAGAATAATACAACGGTATTATGATCTTATAATTACTCACGTAAGACGCGTGTGATGCAACGACTTTGTCAGAAGCTTCTCTTGTTCTTTGTAAAGACGAAATAATTTTTGATGACTTTGCTTCCGAAGAATAAACTAGGTACTTATTTATAAAGTACTGATAGGTGTGAAGAGCTTCGTAGTTTGCCTGTAAAATCTGCTTGTCGTTTTCGCCCTGAAAAAAATTTATTTAAAATTATCGAAAATAACAATTTTTTTTTCATAAAAAACGTTATTTTATTCTGTAAAGCGAGGAGTAGTCAGTTCATCTCATAGATTTTTCAAAAACCTCGAAATTAGTACCTGCAGAAGTAATTTTCGAATATTTTTGAAAAACATCAATTTTTCATTTAAAATTGATTTGTCGAATATTTTTTTTGTTTTGGGAACTGTTCCTGTAAAGATAAAGTATTGTATGTGCACATGAATAAAACTTACCGATTGATTAAGTTTTTTGAAGTCAGGCATATTCGTGAGTTTCAATGTAGTTGGATCTGTTAAACATCCACCTCGTCTGCTGCAATCCATTTTCTTGTGAGTCTTAAAAAAAGATTTATGATTTAGATGAAAATTCGAATGTCTCTAATCGTATGCTACGCTCGTATTCATAATCAATATAGGTATTAAAAAGACTCAAACATTAGAAAAAATTAGTCTTCAATGATTGATTACGAATTACATAAGTAATAAAAATGTTGCGACCTACTAGGTTGAAATTTTGTTATAAAATATAGATTATATCGAACCAATGTCATTGATACGTGTTATACTCAAAAAATAATTTTTCGTTTTATATCTCGAAATAATTACAAACAATTTGAATATCGAATAACTTTTGGAAATTATTGAAAATTTATAAAAAGAATCTTGGTAGGGGCAAGTCTCCGAACGTTCAAAAAAAATTATGCAATATTTTCTATATATATTCCAGTGTGCAAATGTTGGAATAATTTTAACTTGTAAATCGTTTAGAAAATGTTGATGCGGTTCCTTGCTTGTGTTGCGGAACACTCCGAAAAAAGGGCCAAATGAACGAAAATAATATCTTAGCGATTCAGATATACTTACAAATCTTCGAAAAGCGTGTTCCACGGAACTTCGTAAAATATCCAGAGTCCCAATATAGTCTCCTTCATCAAACAATATTGGTGCAGACGAACTTAAGACAGCAAAATTCAATACGATAAATGTAAGCATGATAGAAGAAAAAACTAATCGATTTCCACAAAGTCGTTCCATTTTAAAACGATAGACGAGATTAAATGAGATTCACTGATATCAATAGATTTTGAAACGATTTTGATCTAATTTGTAAATTTCTTTCTTATATATACAATATCAACGCATATAGAAAGAAAAAGGGAAAAGAAAAAACAATCCTAGCACGGAATTCCCGAAGATTGATTTCTGTGTCGGTGGAAATCGAACCAATAATAATGTTATATTAACGAAATTTGTTTGCTCTACCTTGTGACGTAGAATCTACCGCGCGCAATTAAGTTTATCGGATTATAAATATATCACGCACCGCATTATACATTTTTTAATTGCTTAAAAAAATTAAATCGTATCAAATTACGCGATTACGCAAAAAACAAACTATGCCCTTCGGTTGCGGTACGATTTAACGTATACGATGTCAAAAATACACGACGCACAATGTAAATAAGAACCCGGTTTCGCACTGTCTTCAGGTGAAATGTTTATACGCAATTGTAGCATTTATGGTTCTTGGTGTTAAAGCATGGCTCAGATGGATAATTTATTGTTTCTATGAGGTTATTATCACAAGTTATTGCTTTGGCGGTCAAATTTCCTTCGAACGCCGACGTCGGAATTTTTCATACCGTGAAACGGAAGAAAGATGAAACATTGATTTTTTTAAAATTAATACCTAACGTTGACTGAGAATTTGAGTAGTTATTTACTGGATTCCACCTCCCATGTATTTTATAGTTACTAACTAAACTATGTTATTATAAAAAATAATAAAATACGTTCATTGCCATCCAAGGTAGAGAATTTGGGTTTTTCACTACAAGTATTTTCTGGAGCAATATTTGATACCATAAAAGGGAACCAGTATCCAAATTAGCGGTATTTTTACCCCAAATAATTTTTTCAGTCTGAAGGCCGAAATATCTTTTATGCACGAGATAGCCTTGTAGTATAGTATATAATATCGCATCTCGTATCGGCGTTCAAGAAAAACAATTCATTAAAGAAAAAGGATGTATAAAAGAAATTATTCGTATTTGATCGAAACAACTTGATTTATAACGATAAAATATTTTAAATATAAAATAATTTCATACACTTCTTCTTGGGAATCATCCCTGCCTTATGAAACATTGCGTAATTTCAATGGATAGAGAATTCCTGTAAACAGGCTTTGGAGAATTTTACATTTCTTTTTTGTTGATGTTGCACTTGAGTAAATTGACGACAAGTGGTCGTTGTGAAAACAAAACGAAAAGTTTTAGAAAACAACGAGTCTCTGACTGAGCTTAAATTTCATCAGAATTCTTGAATTGTTGAATTTCATCATTTTTCGTATTTAGCAAGGTTATAGTTACTTCTAAAATTTAGATTTTTATATTCCGAAGTTTATTTTTGAAGCAAATAATTGCAATTTAGTTAGTTTGGCATCAAAGATATCAGCGTTTTCTTAGATTTTGGGTATAGATGAATAATTCATTAAGTAGAGTTCGGAAATGGCCATCTTCGAAAAAAAATGAAGTCGACTTTGTTGAAAAGCGAATGAATATCCTGAATAATAATTCACAAAAACTTGATAAATGGTAGAAATGGTGTGTATAGAGTTTAAGAGTCCACTCGGGCCATATACGATAATGGAAATATAACAATAACAATGCGGAAGACATTGTTGAGGAATCACTCTGTTATGAACATACTAATATTTGCAGTTTTTCTGGCTCTGATCATTTACTTGTTGTTTTTTGTTTGTCGACATTGTTCAGCATATGGGATGCGCTTTCCTCAGCTGCGTCATCAATGACCTATATTTAACCCATTCTTAGTAACCTGATAAATTGTTGCACAATAAATGACCAATCAACCTCCGTTTGTTAGTCAGCAATAAATAAATTTATCGTTAATCAAATTTAAATTTACTATTAACATACCATTGGAACACGGCATATGAGGAGATGCCACATTTGTGAGAGGGAAAATCTGTTAAGGTGATTGATTTCAAGACAGAAATATTAGGAATATTCGGAAATCCCCAAGATTTACAGCTTTCTGCTTTTTTATGCACAATGTTTTGCAGCCTAGATTTGATAAACTCAATTAATTAATGAAGTTTTTGAAGCATTAAACTATTGCAGTTTCACAGTTCGCAATCAAATTTCCGAACATTACGACAAACTCAAATAAAGACATATGGCAGGGCTTTAGGTTTGACGATGTCGCTAAACTTCGAAAGATGTTCAAACGCACATTTAATGAGCAATCTTACTGTAGGCATGCAATAAAAAAGAATTCTCCTTCGGAATATAAAATGTGGATAATCTAAACATACATGTTATATGAATAAAATGAAAGAAACATGGGCAATGAAAGAAACAAACGAGGATGCATAATATCTAAAATTCTACGTCCTATATTATTCACAAAACAAAATATGATCATCACACCAGCAATATTATACTCTATCGGAAGATATTTGTTTATCCCGTGGTTTATTTACTGCCCATTGTAATAATACGTGTCATTCATTACCCCGATGATCTGAACATTAATTTAGCTTTCTCAAATCGGATCATCAAGTAGTTACTGTCAAAATGTAATGCTGAATGGCTCGGGAAATAATTAGAGCCTGCCTGTGCTGAGATTCATTCATTTATGTTCGTTTTGTATTTCAAAAGACGGCTTCTCCTAAACGCTTCCAATCAGCGAATTTCTCTTTCAGTAAAACATTGGCAGTGTTTTTTGTTTATCGTTCTTACTGCTTTTATCTGTTGTTATAAATGGTTAAGACTTTTAGTGATTACTTTTAAATTTTCATAAACGACCATAAATGGCAAAGCAAATAAATGGTTTGTACGCGAGAATTTAGCAAGAGTCGTAATAAGGCCATAAAAATGTATAAGTTTCTTGCACCTACTAATTACAACTCGTAGTGCGTCATTGCGTTCCCAAATTAGACATGCTAAATATGTTTCATTGCATAGACAACAAACTTTTACCATCGGTACTATGTTTAATATTTACCACTCATAGGAATGTAGATTATTTATTTTGTAGCGTATTCCACTTGCATTGACCTGATATATATTGAAACCATTGGTTGCGGAAGATACGAAAGTTTGTTCAAGCTTGTCAAATATTTAACTTTCATCTTGTTGAGTAAAAATAATATGATCTCTTTCAACGAAATAGCAATTATATTTGTGAGCTTTCGTTAGATCATGGTCTAACTTCTTCAAACAATACAAGATAATGAGATATAACCTAATCAAACAGCAATAGCATCCTTGTGGGAGTACCACATACAAATCCGAAGTAGAAAGTAAACAAGAAAGAACCTGCAGTTCAATACACAATATCCAAGTTCCCCTAGTTTCTTCGTCTTGTTGCTTTATTATTTTCTTTCGGGTGATTAAATTAAAAATAATGTGTCCATATTTGCAGTTTTAAAATAATATTGTGCTTTGGTCACATGAGCCAAAATGTGATGGTTCAAGTATAGAAGTATTGTTGTTCCAATCAAGAAAAATTGCTACGATTATCAAATAAATTATAAATTGAATACCCAAAACAAAGCAAATAATTCATGTATACAAAAATAACAAAATTCTCTTTTGATTTTAAGTTCCAATTTGGATTCTGTGTTGTCAGATCATTATCTATGAGCTTTAGCATTTAAATCCTTTCTCGCGGTTTGTAAGTCTGATTCATATGAGAAAATAAAGGCATGCGCCTTTCAATGGCCATATGAAAACCCCTGGCTTCTACATAAAGTGCGTGTAAAATTAGAATTATGAGAATTGGTTACCGTATTCTGCTCTGTTACGCACTGTTCAAATAACGCCAACATACCTTAAGTACATAAAGGGAAATACCCAGATAGAAAACACCTACACATTTTATTATGATGTGATTCGATGTTCATATGTATGTTTAACCACTACCTATTTATATCCCACACATACGTCAAAGGTTGAAAGGAGAAATTCTTTTTACATCGTACCCAAACTCCAAGCTTCTCGCGACATCTTGCACTTGACAACGAATAGTCAAACAGATGTTTTTATTTGAGGATGATAAGAGAATCAAATTCGAATGCCATTACCTCGTATTAGACACTAGAATTGAAAAATGTACCTTGTATCAGAATATAAATGATTTGTTACAAGAGATCAAACAATAATTCCCACTTGGAGAAAATAACTCTATTCGGTGGTTTTCGTAGCGCAAGATTTTTAAATCACGAATCAATACAAGTCTGAAAAATTGTAATTGATTTGAGTAAAAACAAAAAAATTAATACAAAATTGTACTTTTTTTAATTTTAAAAGAAAAAATCCATGGAATAAATGGAAATACTTTCCAAACAAGATTTTTCGAAAACGTTTTTATAACAGAATGGTTTTTGATACTCTCTTTTTTTTAAGAATGACGCAAATCAACACGACTACTTGGCAAAAAACTTGGTACTTGAAATGCATTTCATTGAACCCTAGCTAATTCTTTGGCGCTAAGCTCAAATAATTAAAGAATCTGCAATCTGCAGTAGCATTGAAAAATTGGTATGCATAATTTGTATATTTTGTAATAAATGCGATGTTTGCAAAACCTTGAATATTATTGAAGTTAAATGGCTAAGCTAGATATACAGTTTCGATGAACGTGGTTATTGATTGGCCAACGTTGTTATAGAATAAAGTTCGATCAGAATAAACTACAATTACGTGAATAAATCACCATCATTTTGGGAGGTGTTTCTAAATTCAGAGGATGGTACATATTTTGTTATTAGCTTTAAAATATTTCCAACTCAATAAATTTGAATTGCACTCAAATATTTGCCCAAAAATTGCCTGAATATTGGGATGAAAATCTCCTGAGAGGCTTATCTTACATTTATATTTTTATGCAAGCCTATATGTGATCCGAAATAGTCTTTGACATAAAGTATATGATGACACTTCGTTTCGAATGCAGTTTCAGCCTATCATTCCCATCATATTGGGCTCGGGCTCTAAATGGCGACTGTTATAATCGCGACTTTGTGTGAGCGACTGTCAAAACAGCGACTGTCGTAATGGCGACCGCATTAAGACAGCGACTGTTATGATAGTGACTTAACCCCCACACCCTAACCCTAACTTTGTTTTGTCATTCCTGTACAAAAAGTTAAGTCGCTATCATAACAGTCGCTGTTTTAATGCGGTCGCCATTATGACAGTCGCTCACTTGATTACGTCGCTATTATTAAGTCACCATTATGACAGTCGCTGTTTTGACAGTCGCTATCCGGCCTGGATACCCGACAGTCCAGTCGTGCAAAACTTTTGTACCCTGGTCCAAAAACCTTGCCCATCCTTGGTCTAAGTCGCGTGTGGGTTTTTGAATTCAATACAATACTGATCTTTTATTTATTATCTATGCAATTATATCTGTTGGTAGCTGACTCTGGTAGCCCTCTAACGGTCTTATCTCTACCACCCAGTCATTTATCGAAATCCTTTTGTTCGTTTATTTTTATTTTGTTTATATAAGTGTGTACATTGTGTTTTCCGATTCGACAAATCAAATAAACTCTCTCTCGTACGCGCCAATAGTAAAGACCATTTTCTGCATCAGCAACATCAATAATTGAGACGCGTCTGGGTATCTATATATTTTTCCGGCTAGATATTGATGTGTTCATCAAATACCGTTATCGGTTTATTACAATATATACACAGATCAGTAAATATTACGAGATAAAACAAGATTATTTTGATCGATACGTTCCACCACCCTCGACAATATCTAATAACAAGAGTGAGCTTCAAATGCGGGTTTTTCTCGGGATCTTTTTCTTCATAAAATGATTTCTAGTGGTACATTTTTTATTTGCAATATTATAATCAGTAGCTCGTAAATATTTCACTGATTGACTTCATATCACGGCTATGACACCGGAAGCCGCTTATCATCGATTTGAAATGATTTTACCAAATATACTTTGTCGGACGGCGCGAGGCGTATTTTGCAAAGCCTTAGAAAAACGACGCAACGCGCTGATATTTCCAAGAGGTGGTGATGTGCAAAGGAATTGATGGATTTATCGTCGTCGCTATGTGACTTACTAAACTGGTACTCGAACGAGGCTTGAAAAGCGTTAATATTATTTGATTTATTTGCATTCTAGTTAAGATTCGGCGCAAAGAAAATACGTCGCCAGAATACATTGCAATAGAATTTATGTAAAAGAGTTCAAAGAACCACAACCGGAAATTTCAAATCGGGTAACATCTGGCGAAACCAATCCTCTGATCCTAATTCTCTGATTATGATAGTATATCGAATGACAATGAGGTGAATGAACCAACCGGTTTTCATTAGAATTCAGAAGTAACGAATGTTCGCCTTTTTTCCTAATTATTGTTATTGATAATTTAATTGCGAAATTCATTGTAATTGCAATTTTATTCCTATCTGATACCGAGAAAAAGATGTGCTGGCATGAAAGCACCTATTGCTCATGTTTGACTGTCATAAAATCTGACCTGTCTTACATCTCGATAGGGAATCCCGGAAAAATTATATATATAATGATTATAAGGTGGTATTTGTTGTGGATACACGTTGCGTTGATTCTTCTAGATTCGTAGGCACAGGGTCAACTTGGGTACATGGTTACAAAACGATGTTTCATAACTACAGATATATGTATAATATTGTTCCATTTAGTTTAGAGTAACGCACGTTAACTAAAAACAATCTGAGAAGGCTTTTAAGAATATTCGCCTCGAAAATGTTTTCACTATATGCAATCAGAATTTACCTCTGATCTCCAAGGGAAATTGAACAAAAGTAGTTAAATTTTATTTGTCGTCCGAGTCCATGTTTATGAATAGACACGTGACCAATGGGTGTTAACTTTGACGTCATAATTCCCCCTAAAAATGATTCATAAATTGTATGAAGGCGTGTTGTTTTCTGTGCTTTCATGACGACAGTTATAAACAATTAGAAATCAACCAAAAATTTCAAATTTTTTAAAGAGCATGGACCGGAACGTAATAAATTTTGATTTATAAACCGGAAAATGGGGAACGACAACAGGATACCAACGAATTTGAGAGGAGAAATGATTTATTGATGACTTAACAGGCAAGTCAAAATAGAACACTGTTTAAACATGTTTTATAAAATTTTTCTTAAATTTCCTTTATCTCCACGGTTTTTATAGTTATAATGGTTTATTTCAATGAGAGTAGAAAACTATTTACTAAACTGGCAAATTATGTGATGAGACTGCGACTGTCCAATGCTACAGTTCCCTACCTTTGCGGGCCTGCCGAACTCCTACGTTACTACGTGGAAGCTTTCGTCGAACCCCAACCCGCCTTCAATATACAGAGCACGATTTTGTTGTGTATAGGTCAACATAAATTGCAACAAGAGAACTGCACGTAGTTATCCGACCAGATCTCGTTCTTGTTTGACATATTTCATAAAAATATCAGAATTGCAAAGAGTTTTTCGGAAAACTTGGAATCACCACGATCGTTGTAATGTAAGCTTAGATAACGATAAATCGTGTCGATATAGCCTTTGTTGTGCCACAATAGCGTCCGAGGCAGGTGACTTCTTGACTGGAAAAACTAGTGCAGCTGAAAAGGGGAAATACGGCCAAGGCAAAAATTGCAACCTTGGAAATCCACAAAGGACCTTCGACGAACCCATGGAACAGTTCCATCGAACCTCAGGGGTTCGATCGAACCCAAGTTAAGAAACATTGGTCTAATGCTACCCACAGAATGCAACAAACAAAACTTATTCATGTTAATTTAATAGCGTGGCAGAAAAATGAAACACAGCGAATCCATCAGCTTGCAAAATTTCTAGATATTTTATTCATTTTAACAACGCATAATTCACTATCTAAATTTTTTATAACAAGTGCTCTGATTCTGAATTATATAAATTAAAGAATAGAGCCATGTTCAAAGCAATCCCCAAAAAATTCTCCCCAAAGGAATAGGAAATACTTTTCTTACAATATGAGATTCCATTGGGTTCAAATAGTGACGGAGCAACGTGGGTTATTTCCGCGATACTCATTTATGGAGCAGATGAAACTCTCGTTCCTACATCTTACTTTACGAGTGAGAGAATTCATATTGACGTAAGCGCCTTATGTCGCGATAAAAGAGTGAAAAATTATTAGTTATTACAAGAAATACCCCGGCCACCTTTAACAATTGTTTTTTGGAAAATGTAGCGGAAATAGTATTCCATAAACAGTAATTACATGGATGAATAGCGATATACAATGTATGCATCACTCGTACTTGATGACATTCGTTCTGTTTACATTTTTCGTTTTTAAAATCTATGTTTGAAAAAGCGTTTGGTAAGCGTGTATAAAAGCGTGTAATCGGTTCAGAAAATCATTCTGATGAGCAGTTGGGACGGCGATAAGATTATTAAAAATACGGTATATTTACCTGAAAATATTAGATGTGCTGACTGCTGAGTTTAAAATGCAGTTGAGATATATCATTTTCGTTTTGTATTTTTGAAGAAAAAATCCTTTTCAAAAAAATCTTCGTGTACATTAGCTGTTTATTAGAACGGTAATTGACATAATATCTTTGGCATTGTGATAAAACTTGCAATTGTATGCTTTGATATAAAATGATGACAATTTCTTTTGCATTTCAGAAATAATTTTAACGAAATTTTTATCTGGGTTAAATTTAATATATTAGTATAGAAATGACAACACACTACTGCTTTCGCACTGGGGTCGGAGCTGAAACGAGCTCAAGAAAGATTCAAACATTTACTATTATCATGCTGATTGCTTTACTTTATCCGGATATCCATGTCGGTGTAAACGCTTATTCGACTGTGGAACAAGTTGGCGGATTCTCAGCCCCAGAAATGATGCGTATCCTATACATCTCAGTAGAAGAAGCTTTTGACGCTTTTGTAAGTATCAAATTTAATCTGTCTGTAAATCCACTTTTTGTATAATTCGAACAATGCAAAAGCTATAAAATAAAATTCATGTATTGATATATCTACTAATTCATTTTTATTCGCATTTATTTCGCTAAAATTGATACGGAAAATTATTAATGAGGATGAAGTAATCTTTCAAACTTCCAATGGCATCAAGTTCAATCATAAAACGAAATATAATTTTTCGAGGCATTTTAATCCTTAACAACTGTTTCACACATTTTAGGTTAACAGAAAAATGAAGTGTGGGGCGAACGACTGCACAGAAGATCACACGACGTTGGAACTCACAGCAATGCCGAAGTTCAAGTCACTTACAGATGAGGTAGAGAATACGAGTATAAATGTCAAAAAATAAATCAAGTAATAAAAACAATTCGCATTTTCCAAGATTTAAAACAGTTGGATTTAAGAATACAAATTGGGTACTCCTGAAGTATGCGCACCAAGATGTCGCATAGCCTTGTCTGTTGTTCGATGATGAATGATAAAACCTATAAATTGCTTAACATCATATTAATGTTTTATTTTATATTACAGGACGACTCAAGCATATGTAAAAAAATTCAAGAAAATTACGAATCTCTACAAACATTCCAGTATTTCATTGCTCACTATTTAAAATGGATCGAAAACACCGAAATTGATCGCGAAGTTAAAACTGTCGATAATGCTTTCGCTCGGTTTAAAATTAAACATTCTCAGTATGTAAGTATAGCATTTAAGTTTTTTCAATAAACACGCAGTATAGATTAATATCAATGTCTCGTAAAGACAGATATTTTAATGATAGAAACTCTAGAATTTAAAGTTGACGTAAAAGTTTGCTTGGCTATGCCCGCTTGTTCAAGAGCAGGGGTGGGCAAGGTTTTGGACCAGCTAAGCTATGAACAAAAAAAAACGTTACGATAGCGTTATGGGGCAATAACAAACTTTGTCGGTACTAAATTGGATCTCGCGAAAGAAAGATTTATGAAAGGCACGTCGTTTGAGCGGGCGAGAAAACGTAAAGTTTTGTTAACGTCCTCATAATATGAAAGTCTGCGGTAACCTAAAATACAACTTACACAGACTATAATCACAATCTAACAAGCCTTCTGCATGCAGCATACATATTTCAATAACAACAACTATGTAGTACATGCAGAATTGGGTAAATGCAAAATTTTATGGCAGCATCAGGCGGGCCAGATTGAATCACCCAACGGGCCGGATTTGTCCCGCAGACCGAAGTTTGCCCATGTCAGCGCAAGAGTCATGTTAATAGGAATGTGTGAACGAATCAAATGAATTTATTTTGTTTCAGGTCATGTCCACACTTTGTGAAACACCGACGGAAATAACCATCGATCCAGTTGGGTATCCGATACATCATGCACCAAGTCCGATAATTGAGAAAGCCAGAATATACGAATTTTTATTGCAGTACAAAAATTTTCTAAGTAGCTTCCAGCACGCATACCTCATCCCACAAAAAAGGACGGAATAATCACCGTATCTGTTTCAACTTTGGTGGAAAATTACCGATGTCAAAACGAAATGTAAAGTATGTGAAGTGTTCATCTGCAATTGACGAATCACCCCAGTCACAGACTGTCAGACTATTATTTAGAATTATGTGTATTTACAATATCCTGCAATTAAGTATTATATATATTCAATAAAGTATTCGCAAACTTTTAAGCTGTATCCGTATACAAATATTAGATGACAGATTATTTATTTTTGGTCGTGCAATATATTAAAACTAAATACTGTTGATGAAATAAATAAAAATGAAGCATTGTATACAGCATGTATAGATATATATTATGTTCATATTCCATTTCAATACAAGCTGGTATTCAAATATTTGTTTTGTTATTCTGTTTATAACTGTGGTGATAATTTATTATATTTATTATTATTATTATCGCAAATAAAACAAAATGCTTGATATCTCGTGTATACATGGTTGAAAATATGGAAAAGATTAGCGTATTGACTGATGCACAACAGATAGCAACCCCACTTTAGGCCGGGGACACTGAACTAAACCGGGACACAAAAACAAGTAGGCTACTCAAACCCGAACATTTTTAATCACAAATATTAGACTCAATATCTCGGAAAAAATCGAATTATGTTTTTATTTGACACGAGGTGGTATAATGCTTACATAGTTTTGCGTCCACATATTTGAGCATTTCTCACTTGTTATCTTGGGCTCGGCATGTGCCCACTGCGCAACAATTTTAGTATTAAAAACAAGCAAAGGTCGAGAACCTAAATAACTATTTTGTTCACGTGTTTCAGGGGTGGGCAAGGTTTTTGGCCCGGTCCATGAAAGTGTGGCGTACATCTCATGTACAGAATTTTATTTACAGTTTTACAAAAGCAAAACGACAAGCGCGCGGGGCGAAAGAAAGAGGTGTGAATAGCACGCCGTTGAGAACGTAAAGTTTTGTTAACGACCACATAACATGAAGGTCTGTAGCAACCTAAAATACATCTTACACGGACTACAATCATAAAGTAACAAGCCCATTGTACCATACATATTTCAATAACAACAAATATGTAGTGGATGAAGCATTGATTAAAAGCAGAAATTTATGGAAGCATCAGGCGGGCCAGATTGAATAATCCAACGGGCCGGATTCGGTCCGCGTGCCGTAGTTTGTCCATGTCAGTGTGTAATGCAAACGTACCTATAAAATTAAAACGTTGTGCAATTTTCAAAACAGGACGATGTTGGTGAGGCAGAATGTTGTACTTCTATCTATAATTCCTGGCATGTTACATTACAATTTCAGGAAACGATTAAACTTCTACTTTGACTTAAATTACAAACAGCATCATTTTCTAAAAATATATGGGAACGAAAACGATTTTATTGTTCACTTGTCATCGTGATCTCAGCATATTTCATATAGAAGCCACTCTACTCTAAGATAGGAATGCCGTAAAAGATAACGTTCTTGTGTTGGCACACATAAATGATAGCCTGATTTCTCTTTTATCATATCATACGAACAAAGGTCATTTCATGCGTCGCACAAATAGTATGATGACGACATCGCCAGGTTAACTATGGCGTCATAAACATAATGTCAACAAATAAATATTCAACAAACGAATCCGTTCACAAATTGTGTTTACATGGTTCATATTCAAGCAACTAATCAAGGGCATCAAATTGGGATATATTATGTTGACACAGTCAATAGAAATCGCCCATCTTTATCAAAAATCTTGCTAACACTTCAATAATATTCTTAATTATTAGGAACCGTGTAAATGAGTAACATCCCTGTTCATTTTACATTCACTCTCCAAGTCTTCAATTTGGAATACCCTTGTATAAAGACAAATTATGTGCAAGTTTTGATTCTGCTGTTATTATTGCTATCGTGTTCCGTTGGTTAGTTGGTCTCTCATATTAATTACACTTTGTATATATATAGCATGGAAATAATTATCAGAAATGGGAAACGATAGTCCTGTTATTACTTACAAAATATCATTTTAATGAGACTTTCAAGTGTTCATTTAAGTTACAATTTCCACGTAAATCAGCGATGTAGCTGTTAATCGTTTGTTTTTTATGCAGTATATACATTATGCTTCCTTCGTCAATTAGTTTGTACCGATTATTTCAATTGTTCAAATAATTCCGTTTTATTGTTTACTTTTCTCGAGTGTCATGACCTGTTAATAGTTTCGTTGACGCGAATTTCTTCGTTCGCGCTAAAATATAATTAGGTTTCGTTGTATCGCAACCGTCTAAACAAACTAATTTTTATTAATTAATTGAATGTATATATACGCAAAAATATAAACAGACATAACAATTACAGCTGTTACAAGTGAGATGGAATACATTTCTGACGTCAGTAACCTGTAAACTGTGTCGTTGTATGCCGATTTTTGTTACATAATCTACAATTCCAATTTACGGGGAAAATGCTGCAGTCAATAATCAATTAAGTTATTTGTTGATTTTTACAGTACTTTCGTTATAACTGATCTGACCAGCAATATTTTGATTGTTGCCATGAGAACGAAATCAGAATGATATCTGAAACTGGTCCGCTTGCAGCCTGTGATATGTTGTACAAATTACGTTATTAAACCACAAATTAGAATTTTTGGAATTATTTGTCTCACTCAACTGTGGCTTAAAAATGGCTTTTTTCTATTTCAAAATCGCAGTGGCGGCGCGTCAATAGGACCAACCGGGGCAATGCCCCGGTTGTTTTTTCGGTATAGTAAAAAATATTCGAAAAATACCTCAATATCGGTTGCACAGACTGTCTACACTAGCCATATTCTCCCGACATGGTTCATTTTTCGCTCGCAAAGCCTTCGCCGAACGTCGACGGGGCGACGCCGATTTTGCCCCGGTTGCTCATTGTATATCGTATTCTCTCTTTTATCTTCCACTCGCCGCGTCTGTCTCGTTTGTTTTCTGTTTCTTTTACTAAATCATCGGGGCCGATCGGGGCTAGCCCCGAAATTATGACGACACAATGCCGACGTTTCTTACAACAACGTGTTGACATATTCACGCATTCCTTCTCGTTCGTTGGTTGCTTGAAGAGTTGATAGTTTCCTCGCCTTCGTTTTCGTCGCTTGTTTCGCTATTTGAATCAGTTAGAGACCTTTAGTCCATTTGCTTTCGATTTCCCACATTCCTTTTGAGCTCCTCACTTCTTTCCGGCTCCGCATTTCTTAGCCTTAGACCTCATAATGAATAAGGTTGATGCACTACTTCGCACTCCGTTTTCGCAGCTGCCGCTGGAACAAAAATTAGAGGTACAACGTCTTGGGCCTTATCAACCAAAAAATTGTTCACTGGAACAATCCCATGACGGAGGAAAGCGTCGGCGTACATTCTGCGCAGAAACTTGGTATAAAAAACACGAATGGTTGTGTTACGGCGAGGACAAAAATGCACTTTTTTTGTTTTTATTGCCTACTTTTTGCTACCGCCCGTGACTCACGTTGGTGTAAATTTGGTTTTAGAGATCTTAAACATCTTTCCGAGCGTGCCAGGGATCATCAATCTTCTATGGAGCATCTGGACAATGCAGTAAAATACCGAACATTCGGAAATGTTAATATTGCAGCACAGTTGGATGAAGGACGCGCGGTTTCTATTCGTCGCCACAACCAAAACGTCGAGAAAAACCGCCATGTTCTCGGTCGATTGATAGATGTTTTGAAGTTCATTAGTTGTCACGAGCTGTCCCTCCGTGGGCACGATGAACGGGCTGGCTCTTCTAATAGAGGGGTATTTTTGGATATGGTGGAATACACCGCATCCCTAGATACAGTATTGAGAGATCATCTTGATGCCGCAACTGTTTCGAAAGGAACATCTAAGGATATCCAAAATGATTTGCTCGACTCAATGTATAAAATTTGGTGACCGTACATTTGAACCCATGTACATTTGAACCCATGCGTATCTCCACGGGTTCAATCTATATGCGGGTGCTAAAACCCATGGGTTAGGGTTAGTATGGGTTTAACTTTCCGTGAAACAAAAAAAATTCCATAGGTGCAATAGCATACAAGTGCAATTGTCATGAGTTCAAATATACGTGGGTTCAAATGTAATGGAACCATAAAATTTATTTACAACATTTGGCTCTGGAAATTGAGAATTGCCAGTTCCTTTCGATTCAGTCTGACGAGACAACTGACATCACGTGCGTTTCCCAACTGGCTGTGATTTTTCGGTTTGTGAAAGATGGTAAACCTACCGAGAGATTTCACAGCTTTGTACCAATCGTTGATCGCACGGCTTGCGGGATATCGGCTGTACTGAAAGAAGTGTTACAGCCTTACAACGCGAAGTCAAAATTGATAGCTCAAACTTATGACGGCGCGGCAGTCATGAGTGGGTCGAAACATGGTGTTCAAGTTTATATAAAAGAAGATTTTCCTCATGCGCATTTTTTACATTGTTATGCACACCAATTTAACCTCGGTATTAAAAATATGTGTCTTGTTACCCCTCTCGTCCGTATATTTTTTGCAAATGTTTCGGGGTTTTCTTCATTTTTTTTTCGTTTCGCCGAAGCGCTCTGACCTCCTTCGCCAGATATGTAGCCGCCGTCTCCCAGCTTGTGCACCAACACGTTGGAACTTCCAATCACGCGTGGTGCAGGGCGTGTCCGAAATTAGGTCTGAGCTCATTGAGTGTTTCAATGGCATTCAGAGCTCTCCGGTTTGGGACGAACGCTCTGTGAGGGAGGCGGCAGGTCTAAAGCGTCTGCTAGAAGATGGTGAGTTTTCATTTTTTCTCCACAATATTCTATCACGTGGATGTATTATACGGCGCATTGCAGTCAAGGCTAATGGATGGAGCGTCTGTGCAGTCGTGTATTTCAGACTTCTGCGATGCTGTATCTCGTATCCGGGAAACAATAAAATACGACGACACATGGAGTGCTTCTTTACGCCGCGGGCAAACAACGCAGCGTTTGATTTTGTCTGCAAAGGAATGCTGTGACATTCTGGTGAATCAAATAGGCGATCGTCTGCGCACTGAACACCTTGCCGCGTTCTCTTTGATGAACCCCAAAAATTTTTCAAAATTTGCACGTCAATTTCCCATCCATTTGTTGGCTACTGTCTCCAAATTTTACCCCATGATAAACGTGGGTAAATTGGAAAATGAATTGGGATGTATATACACCAATTAAACTTTTTTGAACATCACATCAACTTGCGCGCTCTATGGGTTCCTCATAGATAACACTCTAGTAACTACCTTTGCGGCGTCTGCAAAATTTCTGGACATCATTTTGACGACGCCTATTTCTTCCGCCGACGCAGAGAGAACATTCAGCACGCTGAAGCGTATTAAAACGTATCTCAGAAACACAATGAAGCAAGATAGATTAAATTCCTTGGCTGTTTGATTCATTCACAGAGACGTTATTT